CTGAGAAGAGGGTGGAGGGGTCATAGAGGACGTAGTCCGGGGTGCGGGGGAGGTGAATTTGACTTGATCTGGGGACGCGAGTTTTGACATGGCAAGTGCTGCCGACTCAGCGGGCGACGGAAAACAAAGCTTTGGTGGTGTTTCAGGTTGCGCATTCTCGGTGGTAGGCATCAATGAGTCTTGCGACGGTAGGTAGTGCATTGCTTGTGGATCCATTCTGCCTCAGGCGCAATTGGCCTAAGCAGTGTGCGACAATCAGAAAGATGCAGAGGCTGTGCCTGGTCGGAAAGATGGCGTGTGGTCGAGAAGAAATTTGCTTTGTGCAATCCAACTCTGACACGCGGGAATTGTGGTGTCAAAGAGCTTGAGTATGTAGCGTTGGCGGTGGGTGACGCGGTTTAGCTAGGCGACGAAGACGATAGCGGTGGTAGCAGGGGTGCGCGTCGGTGCGCGTTTGCCAAAGAAGAGTCGCGGGGATTATGCGACTGTGATAGCGTCCAAACGGAAGTGAACGGGTGTTTGCAGAAGACGTGGCTCTTGCGGAGGGTAGTGTTGGGTGTGTGGAGGGACAATGTCGTCGGTGCGGAAGGCGCGTGGAGCGAGGTTGGAGCGTTGGAGGAAGGACCCGCCGGTCGTCCCTGCTCAACCAACCGGCGCTAGGCCAGACCTGTCAGTGTAGTGGAAACATGAACACTCCCTCTGGTTTCACGGGGCAACGGTCGCCTCCCGCTCGCTCAGACGCCCCTCTGCACCCGGCGCGGAGAATTGCCCGTCGAAAAGCAACCTGGCGACAAGTGGAGGACCCTTAATCTGGTTGGACGTGTGTTTCGCCTGTGCCGCGCAGTCTGCATGAACGACTTCCCAGCCCTTAGGCGTTGCATCGTATAGCGCGCGACACCATCGCCATGGACCCGTCCTCGTCCGCATCGCGCCCGTCTGGCATCCCCAGGCCGGCACCGGCCTCGAGGTTACCAGTACTCAGGCCTTCCAACAGCCATTCCCAGCTACGCGCACCCGCGTCGACGGAACAATTACGCAAGAAGCCGTCTCTCTCGTCCATCTCGCGCCCAACCACATCGACACTACAGAAGAAGTCATCGAGGGCATCGCTCGCCTACTCCAGCAACCCCCTGACATCATCGGCTTCTCCTGCACCTGCGCCTGCCAACTCGGGCTCCAACCGGACATCCGTCGCTTCCTCCTCCACTTCTTCCCGCCGAGTGAGTGGAATCCCTAGCTTTGGCTCACGACGAACCTCGACTATCGCCCCACCTACCAACGACGCGCCCGTCTTCAAGCGACCATTCGCCCGTCCACCATCGCGTCAGACGAATGCTTCGCGGCCCGTCTCCTCGTCAAATACTCCCAAGGAAGATGATACACTGGGGAGCCTGGAAGGCTTTAGGTCAGCCTCGAGGGCTTCCTCGCGTGCCAGTTCGAGGGCAGGGTTCCGAGACAATGAGCACTCGCCCGAACTTGTTGAGACGGCCATCGATGATGGGCTCATCAGTCCCGTGAAGCCTGAGAAGAGGAAGAGCCGGCCGTCGCTCTCGGAAAGGACGATAGAGAGTCTGTCTAACCTGCCATCGTCGCCAGCACCGGGAAAAGGAAGACGCCGCTCAAGCTTCTTCAATGCCGACAATACCATGGCTCCGCCGGTTCGACCGGCTTCTGCCATGTCCAACAGCAATGGCAGCAGGCCATCCACCAGTGATGGTGCCCCGCATCCAATACCCGCTACACCGAAGCGATTCGGTGCGCCCTCAAACAGACTGTCCATGACTGCACCTGGAAAGAGAAGCGTTAGTGCGCAGGTCAGCACACCTGTCGCGACCCCCAGCAAGCGTTCCTCGATCCTACAACCGGTGTCGACCGTCAAGAAACAGCCATTAGCTCCAGCGCAGAACTTGCAGAACACGCCTAAACCACGCCCGTTGACGAATAGCAAGAGTCTCACCATGCGAACACCCAAACCTCGGCCATCTCTGAACAACGTCTTCGGTCAAGCGATATCGCCTCCCGGAACCGCTACATCCTCGCCTGCCCGAGACACCCCTGTGAAGAAGACACCCGATACCGTCCGAAGGATGCCGAGCTCTTCCACAGCCCTTCGCGACCAGATTGCGAAAGCGAGAGCTGCAAAGAAGCAAGATGTTGAAGAAACACCAGCCGAAGCAGCCCCCAAACCAGCAAGCTCTTCTAATGCTCTGAGGGAACAAATTGCAAAGGCCAGGGCAGCTGCGAAGCAGCAAAAGACCGAGCCAACTAGAAACAATACACCGCCCACCGACATGATCATACCTGACCCTGCCGAGATCGCGACCTTTGACTTTGGCCTCGACGACGACCCTTTCAATCAGCGGTCCAAGGGTGGCAAGTCTGTCCTACGCAGACGCATTGATAGCGCTCGATCAGACGGTCGCTTGAATATCGCCGCGATGGGATTGAAAGAAATTCCTGACGACGTACTTTCCATGTATATTTACGACCCCAACGATACCAAAGTAGCCTGGGGCGAGGTTGTAGATCTGTCTACTATCCTAGCTGCAGACAATGAGCTTGAGATACTTCCGGACAGCATGTTCCCAGATGTATCAGTTGAAGACATGATTGATTCCGACGAGGCAGGCCCTCAATTTGGAGGAGTGCAGAGCATCGATTTTCACGGTAACATGCTGCGAGAGCTGCCTGTAGGCCTGAGACGACTGACGCAGCTCTCGAAGTTGAATCTGGTAAGTTTCAACATGGAAAAAAATTACAATTGCTCAGCGCTAACTTTGATAGTCACGAAACAAGCTACCTATGGAAATGTTGGACGTTATCGCTCAAATCCCGACTTTGCGGGAACTGAAGCTGGCGGAGAACGATCTCAGCGGAGAACTCTCTTCAGCGCTATGTAACCTCACAGCATTGGAGGTTCTTGAACTGCAGTCGAACAAGTTGACAAGTATACCTGCAGACTTCCAGCGTCTAACGCAGTTGCGGATACTCAATGTGTCGGAGAACCAACTTCGGTCCATTCCCAGCGAAGTTTTTTCTGCGACTCTCATCGAGCTTCAAGCATCGAAGAACCGTCTTGAGGGCGCCCTTCTCAGTCTGGACTCAGTGCCTCACCTACAGGAATTGAACGTCGCGCAGAACTCGTTGACATCTTTGTGCGATGAGGACTCGATCGATCTGCCTGCTATCAAGACGCTCAATATCTCTACGAACCGACTGAAGTCGTTACCCGAAGTCTTTACTTGGGTCAGCATTACCACGCTCTTGGTTGGTGAGAACAAACTTACAACTTTGCCGGAAGGCTTTACGACGCTCGAGCAGCTACGCACTGCAGACTTTACGGGCAACGATCTTACTCAACTTGACGAGAAGATCGCTTTGATGGAGAATCTGGGACATCTTACAGTCGCAGCGAACCCATTGCGCGATCGCAAATTCCTGACTATGGGCACCGATGAGATAAAGCGCGATCTGGCATCGCGACTGCCTGCTACTGAGCTTCCACCTGATGCGGATGAGGACTTCGAGAACGGTGTCACTGAAGAGGCCCAGCCAAAATGGCAGCTTACACCGTCGGGTACAGCAGACCTCGCAGACAAGAATTTGTCTGAGTTGGAGTTGGATGAGATCACCCTAGAGGTCTTCACCAGCGGACTGCGACAACTACAGCTACAGCGAAACAAGTTCGACATCATCCCATCTATAACAGCGCAGTTCGAGCACCTGACACTACTTGATCTGTCCAGGAACAGCATTGAAGTTCCTCTCTCAGCACCCATCGAACTCCCTCAGCTTCGCGATCTCCGTCTTGCCAGCAACAAGATCAACTCTTTGACGCACCTCACAACCTACCTCACAGCGCCTATGCTCGTTACGCTTGACGTATCAATCAACCGTCTCGCTGGTGCCCTTCCGACGCTTCACGTAAGCTTTCCTTCACTCACGACCCTCCTTGCTTCCGACAACAAGATCTCCGAAGTGTCTGCCGAAAGCTTGCAGAATCTCAGGATCGTAAACCTAGACAACAATGATATTGAGCGTCTGGAACCTCGTATCGGAATGCTACAAGGCACGTTGACAGGCTTTGCGGTAGAAGGAAACAAGTTCAGGGTACCCAATCGCCAGGTCCTTCAAAAGGGCACGGATGCCGTATTGACATGGCTCCGAGACAAGATCCCGAGGGAGAGTTGGAAGAGTGCGGACAGTGCCTCGACTGAATTCTTCGATGCAGACGACGGGAGCTTTTGATTCTTCATTGTTACACTCTAGGGCTGTGGTATGGGTATTCTTTTCGTGTCGTGTCTTGTTAGTATGGGGTTGTTCTAGAGTGCACTGGTATAGGTTGACTTGTTTGGATACACTGTAGCGTTTTATAATCTCTTCGTGTACATAATGTGCTCGATACAAAAGGGTACTCTAGGGGTTTCTCGGTTATTAGTTATGGTTTGTTCCGAAGCAAATGCAGCAAAATATTTCTCAGGACGATGGTCTCAACATTAAATCTGAGCAGAATAATTGCAGTTTCATCGTGGCGACTGTATTGAGTGACTAACTTGGCAGGAGATGTACCATGCAGAATGACACATGAGCTGCGAATGCGACTTGAGAATATTAAGTCACTGTAGTCATCGCGTGGTATCTCGCATACGACCAACATCCGAAGTCCTTATTGTCTGGACTACAGTTAGTTCTGGTAGCCCACTAATGTTGTTGGTGTTGTACGCAAGCCTTAGCTTTAACCACGCTAACGCCGGCATAACGTATCGCCGAAAGGTCGGTTCGCACACGCTAGGCGCCCTTCGAAATTGTCGAACTTCGAGATTTCCTTCCGACAGCCGCACGAAAACTAACCCACAGGTCAGCCATCGCGGTACGTTTACCATATCCAAGGCGCGCAATCGATCGAGCGCAATCGCACACATTCGCCATCGAGACTGCGCGCCTCTCCAAGACCACACGAGCGAAGGACAAAGGCTGATTAGGGCAGACAATCCGACACAATGGCCATCAAGCACAACCAGCAGATCCAGAAGAACCATTTCCACAAGGACTGGTGAGTTGCATTGGAGTATTGGGCACGTCAAAGCATTGTGCTAACTTGCATCAGGCAACGCTACGTCCGCGTGCACTTCGACCAGGTAATTCCCCTCTCACGTCGCTGAGAGTAGTGGCGCCTGTGTGCAGATATCTGACAGTGCAATAGCCTGGCAAGAAGTCCTCCAGACGCAATGCTCGTGTTGCCAAGGCTGCGAAGGTAGCCCCCAGGCCCGTCGACAAGCTCAGGCCCGTCGTCCGCTGCCCTACCGTCAAGTACAACCGCCGTGTCCGTCCCGGCCGTGGTTTCTCTCTCGTTGAGCTGAAGGGTATGCCCGATCTTTCCAACTGCACAGAACGCGTCTAATGCATCACAGCTGCCGGTATCCCCCGCAAGTTCGCCCGTACCATCGGTATCTCCGTCGACCCTCGCCGCCAGAACCTCTCCGAGGAGGGCCTCAAGGCCAACGTCGAGCGCCTCCAGGAGTACAGGAAGCGCCTCATCCTCTTCCCCCGCCGCAACGGCAAGACCAAGCAGGGTGACGCCTCCGCCGAGGACGTCAAGGCCGCCAAGAGCGCTGACAACCTCGTCCAATCCACCGCCGCTGCTCTGCCCATCAAGAACGTCGCTCAGTTCGAGGAGGGCCCCATCGGCAACTACGAGGCCACCGAGAACGCCTACAAGACCCTCCGTGCTGCCCGCTCTGAGGCCCGCCTTGTCGGTGTCCGGGAGAAGCGCGCCAAGGCCAAGGCTGAGGAGGCTGACTCCAAGAAGAAATAAGCTACTCGCTGAAGTAGTGGTTTGGTTCTTTGCTATGGCTTACGACAATACAAAAGTCAGGATTACGATTCGACAATGGGTATACCCAGCGTGGGCTTTCCCAGCATGGGCGGCGTCATGGTTAGGTCTGTCAAAATAAATGACAGCATGTGAATGATACCTAGTTTTGCAAATGCAAGCCGTGCCTCCCGTTATTCATGTCGTCGTCCTGTTGACATACCGCCAAACCTTGTCCACACCACTAACTACGGCTTCGTCGAATCACCAGTGTGATGTGCGTGATTTGTTTGCTGTTACTAGGAGATTGAAGCTGCATTCATCCTTTTGGAACGCCATTGACTTTCTCCATTTCGATACTTCAATACAATTGACGTTGCTCCCAGCGCGACGACGTCAGCTCACGAGATCGAAGAGTGTTAGTCGACAGGTCGTGATTTTCTTGCAATACTCGGTGCAGCAATCCCTGAGTCAATTGGCATTCACCAAGAATTACATCAAAATCATCAATCACTCTGTATCTAATCGTTGCTGATCGCTTCTGGATAAAGGGACGAAGTTGCTTAGCGGGGCCCTTCTTGCTATGATAGTAAACCCCACCTCGACTTCTATCGCAACGTACCTCACCACACAACAAAGTTCTAAGATCGATTGCAAGTATACCCAAGCTCAGACTTTGCATACAGTGCGACGGTTCTCTTAGTAAAGTAGTCGTCATTGCATTCGAAAAGGTAGGCTTCTCGCGCATCTTATGTCTCGAGTACGACGTCTTTGTTGTATCCTTTACTGGATGCCTTTCATATCTTTGCCGAATCTCAGTCACTTCTCTTTGCCTCGAACCCCATTCCTCTCGATTCATATAATTACTCATTCTTTCTTCAGATATCATCGTCTCTTTCGCCTATAAGCTTCTCACCTGGTTAGCTCATACAGGCCAACCACAGAACTGTCAGTTCATCTCATCTTTTCGCTTCCAAAAGCATAAACACCCAAGAACATAACGGAACCCAAGAGGAAACGGCCCGACTTAACACAGATAAAAATTTATTGAAGCGTCTTGAACGGTCGAAGTGTTGGGTGATCTCAGCGATCGATTAATCTCCAGTCATAGCGATATCATCTGCACGCCTCCGGAGCCCAAAGTAGACAACATGACCTCTCTTTCTGACAGCAAGAACCCTTCGCCTTCGAAACAAGCTAGCAAAGCAACACAAACTGCCGATAGTTCCTTCACTATCACGACTGCATCTCATGGTCCCATCCCTACTCTCAAAGACCCCAGTTCGGCCAACATCAGCAAGCGCGAGTATATTTACTTCCTGCCCTATCCGCTTCCTCCAAACACCGAAGTCCCCTACTCAATCCATCTCCCCGACAAGAACCCTCTAAACCTACCCTCCCACCAATTCGAGCCCACATCCACCGTGGTACTAACAAGCCCCAACCGCACTTTTGTCGACATCCGCATCTACAAGTCGTTCAAAACCACCGAGCCAAGCCCCAACCAAGGACACTCTCAGAAACTAGACTGGGCCTTCGCCGGTACTTCCTCCTCCGTCCCTATCACCTTGCCACCCAGCGGCCCGCATCACGGGAAATCTAAAAAGCGGCTCGAAGAAGACACGTGGGAGAACGTTACGCATTCTACCTGGACGCACTGGGTCGATTCCCGGTATGCAGTTGGTAGTTCTGACATTCCTGTTGATGAAGGAGACATGTATCCTATCGCACCGGAACTTACGTTGGAAGTGGGGCATGGGTTCCATCCTGCGCTGGATGCGGTGAAGACGCACGAGGAGATGTGGAAGGATGAGGACGTTGTGTCAACGAATAAGGCTGGAAGTAAGATTTGTGTTGTTATGAGGTGTCAGGCAGATGCGGCGGGGGTGAGGGGTGTGGTTGTTCGATTAGGGCAGTATTGTCAGGGGATTATGATGGCTGGGGAGAAGACGACTGTTGAGCGGTGGGAATGGAAGGATGGAGAGAATGGAGAGGGTGAGGTGGGGGAGTGGAAGAGAAGTGTTAGGATTGGTGATGGGTTTGTGCCTTGTGGGGTTGCGTTTAGGCCTGAGGTATTGGGCGTTGGTGCAGTGGTCAAGTTTCATAACTTTGAGTGGGTGGTGGAGGAGGCTTGGGAGTGGAATTAGAGGATGTTAAACGAGGATGTTGGGTGGAGGACAATGGGATGTACGCTGTAGCATAGTAGGAGATATATATCGAATGATGGCGAGTACAGGATGCCAACAACCATAGAGAAACAAGCCATGAAAATACTCCGACTCCTTCCTACCCTGAGTGACAATCACGAATCGTACCCCCATCCACCCTGCATCCCTCTGCCCAACCCCTCACCCCCCGAAAGTGCCCTCGCAACCCTGATCCCCTCACTCAGAAAACCCACCGCGCCATCCACACCTGCATGCCCCGTCCGAATCGTCCCCGGCATAGGCGGATCGGCATCCCTCTCCATGACCCCCCTCATCATCTCCTCACTCGCCTCGCCCTCATAGCGGTCAAGCACCAGCCTCCTGATCGCCACCTGCCATTTACTCACCCACTCCTCCTCACTAACCGTCGTATACTCCTTAATCATCTGACTATCAACTTTCGAAAATGGCCACTCGGCCTTTACGACAGCATACCTCTTCGTCGCAAAGAACAGCACCGGCCAGCTGAAGATCCACAGAAAAGTCAGGTAGAAGATCCAACACACCCACGTCTTGAGCCTCCAAGTGTTCACTTTCGAGCTTGTGTAGAAATCGACATGCTCGTCTTCAACAGGGAACGTGATGGCAATGTTCCCACGATAGTTCGTTGATCTGATGATTCCCTCGAGCCTATTCTTGAGATGGTGTTCATCAAGCCCCGTCACCACACGCCGCAGCCGGAAAATCCGAAGGGCTCGGGGTGAAGCACAGTATCTATGGCACCATTCCGTCAACCCCGCTTTTGGCGCACCGCCAACTTCGATATCTTGTGTAGACCCCGGGGCCCTGCATTTGAGGATCGTACCTCGATGCGTTTTCTCGCTGTTTTCAACGGTTGTGAGGAACATTGTCGAAGTGTCTCTGTCATCGAAGTTGGGACGGAGGTAGCGTTGCAGATTTATGACGAGCCGGAAGTCGGTGATGTGCTGGGTTTCCTTCTTATCGCCCTTCTTGACTGTCTCGCGGTGCGTACCCATCATATAGACGAGAGGGACTGGGGCGACCTTTGCGAAGGAGCGGATGGCAGATTCGAGTTCGGAGGGGTTGGTGTCGTACTGGGGTTCTAAGACGTTTATGGTGGAGGTTACGACGGGTTTGCCGTGCTTGAACGACGGGCTGTTGTGGTTGGTTCGTGTAGTTGGGGGTGGGACATGGCGGATGGGAATGTCTGGTGTGATGGTGGTGCTGTTTCCGGCCTCGCTGTCGGTGTATGAAGGAGGAAGACCGGAGATTTCGGGAGCGTCATCGTAAGTGTAGTCGTCGGGGGTGGTGTGGAGGGAGACAGCTTCTGGGTCGTCGCGGTAGCTGGGTGGAGGGTCGGATGCTCTGCCCATGATGATGTACTAGCAAATGCGAAGCGATATCAAGTGTGAATATACAAAGATAACGACTTCAGATGTGAGGGGTGGTTGTGAGAGCGCTGGATAAGGTAGAAGAACGAACGACGATACTTAGTCGTGGTTGAGGCGTCCAGGGGCCAGTGAGACGGAGCACGAGTCTCAGCCTTCCTCCAGGCAGCCACCTACCCATTGGCCTATGAGAGCTGCCAATGCATACACTCGACATCTCTTGTTACGGGGTTACACAGGAGCATTGATTTTGCCATACTGTGTGTGTTGACACTACAGAGTCGCAAAAGGCCTGTTTTCACATGCTTGTCACGCATGCTGGGTAGTGATAGTCGGCGCGGGGAAGTCTGGAGGGTCGCGCGGTGACGCTAAAATTAAGCTTAACTCCGAAGCCAAAATTTTGGAGCTCGACGCGACATCGACCGTGGATGCGCCGTGACTCTTTGCACAAGCCACAATTACCTCTTGTCTTGCACTCGCCCCCAGCGCGACCTTCAATCTGGCCTCTATCACATCTTGGATACGCTGTCTACGCACACCTCAAATCCTTCCAAGTTTCCCCCGCAGAGCATGCGCCATCAGTAGCTCTTTCGCACGCGCATTCCACACTTCCCTCACCATGGCCTCGCCTGACGTCCAGATGACCGACGCGGGCGCGCAGACCATCGATGCGACGCCGCAAGCTGGGCAGCACATCAGCCACGAGGGAAAGAACTACACGACGATCAAGGAAGGCCTGGCGCATATTCTTGTCCCTCAAGGCATCCCCACGTCTACTGACCCAAAGCTGTCGAAAGAGGAGACTCAGAAGCAACAGGTCTTCTACAATCCTATTCAGCAGTTCAACCGCGATCTGAGCGTACTTGCGATCAAGACATTCGGTCTAGACGCAATACAGCGAAAATTGAAGAAGCATGAGCAATTCAAGAAGAAGAACGAGCGGAGGCGAGAGCGTATGCAAAAAGAGCGCGAGGCAGAAGAGGCTACAAATGGTGTGAATGGGGCGACTGATACTTCTGGGGCAGAGGATGCATCAACGAACAAGAGGAAGCTTGCAGAGGGAGATAACGGGGAGGGCGCTGCCCCTCTCAAGAAGCAGAGGACATGGCAGAATCTCAAGAATGAGCAAGAATTGGACGATGCAGCAGCTGAGGAGGAGGCTGCTGGTACAAACGGTGGACGGACACCCTGGAGACCACCCTTCAGCATTCTGGACGCCCTGTCTGCGACCGGTCTTCGTGCTGTACGATATGCAAAGGAGATTCCCTTCGCGACCACCATCACGTCCAACGACATGTCGCAGAATGCCGTCGACTCCATCAAGCTCAACGTCAAACACAACAAGCTCGAAGACAAAGTTACGGCTAATACAGGCAATGCAATAGCCTACATGTACAGTTTCTGTGACAAGAAGGGTTATGATGCCATCGACCTTGATCCATACGGCACCGCAGCTCCCTTCATCGATTCAGCCATTCAAGCCATCAACGACGACGGACTACTGTGCATAACGTGCACTGATTCTGCCATCTTTGCATCGCACGGCTACCTCGAGAAAACTTATTCGCAATACGGTGGACTGCCGTTCAAGGGTGAACCTTGCCATGAAGGTGGAATCCGTCTAGTCCTGCACGCCATCGCATCTTCGGCTGCTCGATACGGCATGGCTATAGAGCCGCTGCTGTCGCTTTCCATCGACTACTACCTCCGAGTATTTGTAAGAGTGCGAAAAGCCCCCACCGACGTCAAGCTGCTCGCCGGCAAGACCATGCTCGTTTACCACTGCGAAAGCGGTTGCGGTGCATGGACTACGCAATTCCTTGCACGCAACAAGGTCACGAAAAATAAGAACGGCGACCCCATGTACAAGCATGGCTTTGCCCAGGGGCCATCCGCGGACCAACATTGCGAGCATTGCGGCCACAAGACCCACCTGTCAGGACCAATGTACGGCGGGCCGTTGCATAATGTCGGATTCATCGAAAGAGTACTAGCGCAGCTGAATGAAGTTGACCGTGAGACGTATCCGACCATGGATCGCATAGAAGGAATGCTACACACAGCTCTGGAGGAGATCACGTTTGGCACAAAGTTGGACAAGTCGAACGGGGCGCCAAAGACTCAAGTCCTAGACCCCCTCATTCCGAAGTCCGATCCTGCAGAGATAGACCACCACCCATTCTTTTTCATCCCAAGTTCGGTAGCGAAAATAGTTCACTGCTCTGCACCGCCGTTGGCGGCAATCCGCGGAGCGTTGCGACACGCGGGGTTTAGAGTGACAATGAGCCACTGTAAACCGGGCTCTATCAAAACGGACGCGTCGTGGAGGGATATCTGGCACATTATGCTCGAATGGACGCGGCAAAGAGCGCCGCTGAAGAATCTGCCCAAGTCAGGAAGCGCAGGCCATGCCATATTAGCCAAATCAAGCGGGAGTGGGTATACAAAAACGTCAACTGCCGGTACAGCACCTGCTCAAGTACCGGCCGATCCGGCGCCTGGAGCGCAAAATAACGCAGAAGATGGCGGCGATGCGTCGGCTACAACAACTGCAAAAGATCTGCCAGCTTACCTCAACACCAAGTTCGAAGTCAACTTTGACGAGAAGCTTGGCAAGGACCACGACAGGGGCAAATACGTCCGCTACCAGCTCGCTCCAAGGGAGAATTGGGGTCCGATGTCGCGCGCGAAATAACTGAAGCAACAAATAATGACAATTCAACTATAGCACCCAAGCTCATAATTTGCCATCTCGAGGAGTACGCAATGCGTTTGTTTAGCTGCTGCTCTCCAATAATCGTCTTGCGTAGCACCATGATGTTCGCCGTTCGTCAAACATCGGCCGGAGATGCGTAGATCTAACGTCATCGTCGATTGCTTAGGTAAGGGTTATACATGCATGCAAGTTGCATCGAAAATTCTCATCTTCCTTGTCCATCTCGCAGATGCACGTTATTTTTTCGGGGCAGGCCTGTAATGTGCTCGATCCGCACGCCCCAAGATTTGTGGAGAGCGCTCCCACGAGCGCATCGGTGAACAGCCAAGCGGAGATTTGCCTGCTTCGGTACCTGCAGATAGTAATGTTTACCCGGGGCCTGAGGCGACTATGCGATTTGAATTACTGGGGTGGCCACGCGAGGCTGGCGTTCCGCGGAGGCGAGTGTCCACAAGTCGAGAATGCGTTCCATTTCTCAGCAACAAATGCAGGCCCGGGTGTAAGCTTAAGCGTTAAGCTACTCTCCAAGAGCACTGGCGACCTGCCAGAAGCCTTGGAAGAAACCCGGTTTGTTAGTTGTGGCTGTTGATCTATTGCGGGGCGGGAGCACTAGCGGCTCAAAACTTAAACAGTTCCACCATGTCATCACGTCGTCACGTTGTTTGAATGCGGCAAATCTTGGGAAACACAACCCCTGTACGCACGCGTTCACGCAGCGCCCAGCATTTGGCACAGGCATTGAAGAGCTTTGATCAGGAAATGTTCAGCAGCGCATCTTTTGATTCGCTCGTAACGACTTCCCGATGCCAGTCCCGAGAATCCCATGTCGTGGCCGACTTTTCGATAATTGCGGCCTGCACTGCCGTAACCGTAAAGTCATGAAATCATAGCTCTTTAACCTATTCGAGCGACAACGCCTGTAGTCATCGATTCGAAATCGGTAGGAATAAGCGTCGACGCGATGCGGTCACTGATGCTCGACGCGCGTATATAACCATTACAGACGCCGCCCATTGTTTGAACCGCACAACACTTCGAACCGCCAACCGACTTCAAGATGTTGACCAAGAGCTTCCTCACCTCCTCGATGCTCGCAGCTCTTGCTGCTGCCGCTCCTGCTCCCCAGGACGGCTACAGCGTGGCGCCCCAAGAAGTTGGTGACGTCGCTGGCTACACCGACGCTGATGCTAGCTTCTCGGTCACCTTCATGCCAGCTGGAACTCCCGCTTCGGTTTTCGGCCCCGACTCTCAGGTTGCTGCCATTCCCACCTCACCTGGGTCAGCTCCTCCCCGAAGGAGCTCAGATGTCACCGGCGCCACCAGCCATGGACCCTACGATGGCACTCCTACCACCACTGGAGCTGCTAAGGCACCTACCACAATTGGCACTGTCATCCCTCCTCTTGGCCCTGCCCCCACGGCTACCTACTACAACACCGACGGCAAGCCTCAGAACCCCATGCCCATTCCCTACCAGCCAGCTGGTGGTCTTGGCACCAACGGAACTGAGCCTCGCTACATGGTAAACAGCGACTTCGACTTCGAGTCCATCACCCTTGGTCTCTACCAGGAATGGATCGAGCTTGACTCGTTCAACAACGGTCTTGCCGTCTTCTCCGAGCAGGAATTCCTAGACGCTGGTCTCACTGCTGAGGACCGCGCCTACATCGCCTTCATGGCTATCCAGGAAACTGGCCACGCCACCCTCCTTACCAACATGCTTGGCGAGACTGCTCCTCCCCAGTGCACCTACAACTACCCATACCGCACTGTCCGCGAGTTCATCGACTGGAACATGAAGCTTACTCGCTTCGGTGAGTCTGGTGTCTGGGGTTTCCTTGCTCACATGGACGCTCGCGAGGTTGCCAACCTCTTGTCTCAGTCCATCGCCACTGAGGCCCGCCAGCAAATCTCTTTCCGCCAGATGCTCGGCCTTCCTCCTCAGCCCGTATGGTTCGAGACTGGTATCCCCCAGTCATGGCAATGGACCTACCTTGCTCCCTACATCAGCTCTTGCCCCGAGAACACCACTCGTCTCGCATGGCAAAACTTCCCGGCTCTGTTCATCGACAACCAGCCCAACCCCAACCGCTTCTCTCCCAACGACACCAAGCCCCATGAGGTTGCTGGCGACCGTGTCGCTGACCCTGCCGATTCTACCATCCCTGCTGATGAGAGCTGTGTGAACATCAACGGTACCGAGCACCCCGGCTACTCTTGCGGCCCTGCTATCGCTCGCAACCGCTCTGAGCCCCTCTCCTTCCCCGGAAAGCTCGTCAACCTCACCTGGGAGAACCCCGGCCTTGCTGTCGGTCCCAACAACTCCTACATCACCGACACCGCTGCTGGCGCCCCTGCCTTCGTCGCCTGGGTCTCGCAGCTCAACTTGACCTACACTCCTCTCGAGATCACCGGCAACAACACTGGTTACACCTACCAGCCCGCTGGTGAGGTCTACGAGGGTGACCCAGCTGTTAACGACACCATGTTCGTTGCTCTGACCGACGCCAACCCTTTCCTTACTCCCTTCAACTTGAGCATGATCAACCCTCACGTTGTCGCTCTCGGTCTTTACCAGGCTGGTTAAATCTGTTCGCTAGTGTAGCAACAGATTTAGGAGATGGGACGATGCTACTGCAGCATTGTTGAATTAATCTAGTGGATGAGGCCTATGAGCCATGTAATTAGATCAAGGAATGATTTGTATGATAGCGGAGATGAGGAGATGGCGGATAGTAATGCGTAATGATACCAATTTGTCATCATCAGAAGATCTTTGTGTTTCGTCCATGGTGAACTACATGTGTGGTTTTGTTTGCATCTTCATCCACGCTAGGCTTTGCATATAAGAGGGTTATTGATCCAAGGTCTTATCCTTACTCCAATACTCTAAACAATCGATTCATATTTCCAAAAAACATGACAAAGAACCAACTATGTCTGTCTTTGCCTGTTCGCCTTCCAAAAACTCAGAACACGATGCTTCGCTGTACCACAAAATCCTCGACTTGGGAAGTTTATGTTGCTTGGAATCCGAAAAAAAACTCTCACCATTTAACATGAGAGAGATGCCCTCGCCTCCAGGGCGTTCCAAATTGAACCAACCTCTTGGTCGCCATATAATACCAGCTCATTCTTCTACTTCCACTTCCAACCTTCCACTCTCCAAGAGTGTGCCAGAAACTCTCAAAATCAAATTGAGTAAGACGATATGGTCTCTCTGCTCTTCTCCTGGTTGCCTATAATCTCGCCACAAGAGGATTCACTATATCACCAAAACAAAGCTAGTTCCATTAATGTTCTTTTCCGAAAGCTCTCAATGATCAAATCATGTTGAGAGTTGCGTGCTCGCCGTCTACAAAGCCTTTGGGAACCGTATAAAGGCCGCTCGTTTTTCCCTCTCCACGCCGACCTTATATCACTTACACTCTCATAATAAAAACCAAGAACTCAAAAAAGGCATACCAACCCCTCATGAGAATTGTTCTTCTGTCTTCCAAGATCAGTATATACCCTCTCTGCACCACCAAAATCCACCCGCCTCAATGACATGTCTTTGGAAAATTCAACCATCGATTCATATGATGTATGAGGGACGCTCTCGCCTTCTCTGATACTTTTCAAACCTGAAAGTTCACAAAAACATATCTTCTTCCACATTCAAAAGAATAGAGGATCATAATCATGAGAGAAGTGCGCCCGGCGTCTCCAATTTTTCCCAAAACAACAACTGCACCACCAATGCCTTCTTCCAAAGTCTGCCACGCATACAAATACCAGACCTAGCACTTAAATCGGTAGCGTAGCATTAGCCGGCAAGCAACTTCCCCTCTCCATCTCAATCCTCGCTGTAGCGTTGACTACCAACCCCGCCAACGGACTAGTTCCACACTTCAGACCTAATACAAATGCCTGGCTATGCTGTTGTATTTGTTAGTAAGAAAACTCGAAAGTTCACTAAAACAATGAAGAAAATGGAGCATGCTGGGAGAAGAGAGCAAAATAAAATACACAGGTTATCCCGGTGGGGAAGACGGTGGAGAGAAAATACATACCACATCCGCCAAAAACGGCGCTGTATGCGTATGATCCATCGGGTATTCCTTGTCCACTACCTCCTTGCCAAGCAACTTCTGTGCTTGCGCGGCGTAGCTTCCATGTTGCACAAAATACACATGCGCTGATGGGCCACCGAGTTCGAGGACGGACAACATGTCGTAGTAAGCAAATCTTGACTGCTTAAACGTATAAGTACCAGATTCCCACACGTTAGTGGGAAGTTGCTCTGAGATGATGATGCCAGATGCGCCTAGGTCCAGGAACTTGGAAGCTGCGGTTTTGATGTAATGAGGGAAAGTGTACACGGTTTCTGTGACGTTGCTGTTGCGGGGACACGGAGGTTAGTCGCTGTTATACCAATGCTACTATTTGGCGAACTTACTTGAACGTCACTGTACATGTCTCGTCGCCCACACCGGGGCAAGGCGGTCGGCCTTTGTCTCCCGTTGAGCTCGTCGAGCCATTCGTGAGCGTTCCTGCGTCGTTGATGCCGAATTCGATGATCACCCAGTCTCCGGGTTGGATCGCTTGAGCTATCCTGTCAAAACGACCTTCGCGTGTGAACTGTGTTTGTCATGTGTTAACCCAGTGTCTTTGGTTTCCACTCTGTATAAAGAGGACACATACCGAGCGCGCGGATCGTCCGGCATAAGCAGAGTTGTTAACACGGGCGTTGGTGCCGAATGAGTACTGAAGGTACTGTCCCCAACCTTCCGTGCCATTGTGCCCACCGTCGGGGGCAGTTGTAGAGTCGCCAGCTACCCAGATTGTTGGCACGGTCGCCCTTGAAGCTGCACCTCTGTGACTCTCTGTAAGGCTCTGTGGTAGCGCCGAGGCTGTGACGCCGAAGCCGAGAAGGTATGGTAGGGATGACTGGAGTTTCATGATGATTGCTAGTGCCAAGCCCCTTTTAGATCTTACCAACGAATTGGTTCAGGAACAAGTGAATTTATCAGGACAACATTCTACTAAACATTGCGCCAAGTGTCCGGTTCTTATACTGATGCTAATAGCCCCCAAGGCTGTGTACGATCTACAGCGCCACCGGAACATGTCATCTCCAAAATGCGCCGCAATTGGATCAGAATCGCCGTCTCTAGACTAGCTTCATCTATGCGATTCAAAGACGTTGAAACGTGCGGAAATAGCATAAAAAAGTGTCGCCGGTGCGGTGTCCCCGCAGAGTCCGGGGTTGGTTCACTTTCGGCGATCGGAGCATCACCCGCCGAGCTAAACAGATCTTCCGTCGCATGAAAGGATGAGGGCAAACACGATACCAAACAGAGGAGGAGATGTATACAAGATCAGGTTCGGGGGCGTTTGCGCAACGCGGCGGGAAGACAAGTTGGCTAACGTCACCAGCATTTCGCTGTAAGCGAGCCTTCGAAGTGCTGGTACAAAGCCGTTGTCGCTCCACCTCACGGATCTTGTTCTCTACACCACATTCTGCTCTATCTAAACCAAAAACAATTTTTCTATATTAGATATGATTGGCGCGACCTTCTCTCGGCGCTTAAATACCTAAAAACCTTATTAGTGCCCTTACATGGCTTTCTCGTCTTCAATAAATCATTGTCCGATGGCACATGAAGGCTACGTCTGTTGCACGCAAATTCTAAGCATGGCACTTACGTCACTAAACTGAAGCCTGTTGACAATAAAACCTTTAACTTCTGGTTTTCATTCTCCTCTACACATTAAAATCATTGCGCGTCTTTCAAAATGGCCCAGAACAGAACCTATGTTGTGGTGCCTTGCTCGTGAGCCGTCGCTAAATCTACTGCCATCAAAAGCCTAGGATGCATTACTCATGTTTCATCGTGGGCTAAGAGCTTTGGGACCGAAGCACATGATTCTATGAGCTTGCGTAATTCCTCGAGAACATGCGATTGCATTGCCGGTTAAATCAAGACAGAGGCACTTCCTTCCTTGCTTCGTACTCTTACCCAACACAACAATATCGCCATCTAGTCGAAACCCGAAAGACATGTTCCATGTTTCTCGTCTGTTTGCGACTCATGTCTGTACTGTCAAAACGGGGGCATCGAATCTGCTGATGCATTTGCTGTCTTCGAAAGCGGAGTACGTAGCTGGGTTCGAAACTCAGAGAAACAATGGTTGCACTTACGGCTTTTCTTCATCCTGCAGAAAGTTACTGAAGCAGATGCCATGGTGTAAGCTACCAAATGGTAAAAAAAGACCTGAGAACCGAAACATGATTCATGATATGGTGTGCTGTGCAGGAGTTTCCAATCTCAACGAAATACCATACCGGCCATCTATGTGATATTGTAGCCAGCAAACCAAACGCCTTCGATCCCATCAAAAAACATACCATCATGTGCACCATCTCCTCCCATTCAGTCTTTAGGTTGAGCATGTCACGTCACCAAGACCCGACATCTCTCTCACAGCATTCTCGATATCTCCCACACTCATGCCACTCAAAAATGTCGCAGTGAACGTGTCACCTCTAGTGAAGCTGAACGAGTCATCACCAAATTTCTCCTTGAGTGAGGCTTCGTCACCCCAGCCAGATCCAGTGACCTCCCATTTACCACCACCCAAACCCTGTTCGAGGACTTTGCATGATGCTGTGTTCGGTGGAGGTGGGGGTGGAGAGTCTGGCTGTTCTGGTTGTTCTGGTTCTGACTCGGCCGGGCGGTTGTGAACGTTGCAGATTTCCTGGAGCATGGTCAGTTAATGGTCTCAGCCGAGCTGTGCGAAATATGACGAACATTCTTCAGATCCTCGTTAGTGACCGCGCCATTCTCGACGATCGGGCGGCCTGGAACAGACTGCTCGGGAGTTGGTGCCCTCTTAGTGAAGAGAGAGCGCTTCGCGTTTGTATCCGGAAGATCACAAAGTCTAAGCTCGTGTTAGTCTTACGGTAATTTGAGTGAGAAGATTTGTCGTACTGGTTAAGCGCCAGGTTGTATGGCACCTTGAGACTATCTTTTTCAGGCTTTGGCGAGTTCTCGTACTCATCGCCGTTGAACGGGTCGTCGTTCCTGATTTCGGCATTCTTCAATATGAACGCCTTCATGTCTGCTGGTACACTGCCGTCGTGCCAGTTGCTGCGTAGTTCAGGGATACTGAAGAAGTATGCAGCGAGTCCGGCCTGTTGTCGTTAGCACATTGCAAAAGGCTGGAGAAAATAGCAGCGAGCACTTACTATGGCTGGGGCCGCAGCGGATGTCCCGGTCGCTGGTGTGGTGGAGTCATCTTCTCCATCATGCTTTGCAGCGACGACATTGACTGCATCCGCGTATATGTCCACTTGACCACCTTGGCCGTTGCCTTGAATTGTGTCCCTGTAGTATTTACCAGCTTGGTCTACACCGCCGACGGTGATCATGCTGAATCTATCATCGGTGCCAAACGCTTGCGGAGTGAGGGTGTCTAGAGTGCGAATTGCTCCGTCGTTGCCTGCGGCGACAACAAGCGTGATGTCTTTGTCCTTGCATTTCCTAAGTGCACGCTCCATGGTGTTGATTTTACCTTGGGCACTCTCTTTAATCCAGCCTAGATTTCTGGTCAGTATGGTTTGCCATAAGCCTTGCGAATGACACCGCTTACCATAAGATAGGTTGATTATATACTTCGCATTAGGGTCAGTATTCTGGCGTCTTTGTTGTTCGATGTCTTTGAAGGTCCAGCTCAGAGCAAATTCTAGTGCCGAGTCCGTAACCCCACGTGGTATGAGCTTGTCACTTTCTGGGTTCTGAGGGTTCTTAGCCGAGTTCCTCATCTTCACGACAACAAGGTTGGCCTTGGAAGCCACACCACTGACGTATCCAGCCGCAATACTTGCGACCATAGTACCGTGACCATTGATATCGGCCATATCTTCTGGTCCTTTTTGCTCATCGCTGAGTGAGCCGAGAGCGAGTGTGTGTCGATTGGGCACGACAAAGTCCCGAACCTCGCGCTCAGAGGCATCGAATTCCTGATGACTCTTACGATAACCAGTATCAAGGACGTAGATTGTTTGGCCTTGCCCAAGAGAAGGCTCAAAGACATAGTTCGGAAGCTGTGCCGGATCGTTCTTCTGGTTCCTTGCAGAAAGCAATCTGAGATGAGCCGCACTATCATCTCTCTGGCTGAGTGATTGAGGCAAGGTGGCCCTGGTATATAGTGAATTCGTACCACCGTGATTAGGGATGACGAGCGCCTCGCCATCCTCTTCAGACATCGGCTCGGCCCATGCTATGATAGGGTCTTGACGAACGATAGCGGCTTCGGCGTCGGTGAGGTTCAGGTATTGGCACGAGACCCACTCGACTTCGTCGAAGGCGATTATGTCACCCTGCTTGTCACCAAGTGGTGGCTTCTTGGCAAATTCCTCGTACTGAGCTTGAGTTATGCCGTCCACTGTGGTGACTAGATAAGGTCTTGGGGTATCTTCGTCTCTCTTGGCACGTTTCTTGGTATCCTCTGGTACAGTCTGTACTGGAGTGCCATCTGGGTTAAACTCGCATGCCTCGTTTTTGGTACTATCTTGCGCCGAGACAGCGACCGAATCGCATGATTGTTTGACTCCAGGGTTGAATGAATCGTTGGAGACCACAGCTTCTGCTCCTGGTTGATCGTTTGAATTCATTCTCTGGTGGAGATGTACGACTGGTTGGGTCTCAGCGGCTCCAACAGATAGGTGTGTGAGGAAGACCGCAATCGCTGCCAGAGTGACGTGCGAGACATAAACCATGACGGATGCCTTGGCGAAGCGGGGAAGTTTACAGCGAATCGGATAAAGAGACGTTCAATTGCCGTATACGGTGTAGTTGAGAGAGCAAGAACTGGAGGTATCGCGAAAAGTACAGTGTATAAATATGATGAATGAGTTGTTGTTTGAATGCGTGTGTATGATCTGGTGTTTGAAGTGCTGGGTTTCTCTCCATCTTATACTCAAGAGCATGAACAGAATATAGAACACTCACCTCAACTAGCCTTCATGAAGACGCGGAATTGTATAATGCCAAGAGAGTAAGATTTTCGTTTTGATACTTGACGCCTCCCTCAATTCAAAACTGGTTGACCTATATTGAGCCCGAAAGGCGTAAGGCATACTCGATACGACTTATCTTTGGATCAAAACGCAATACCGGATATATGGTGTGAAGGCATAGTATGCAAGATTGGCGTAGATCGCAGTGAGCTACTTTGTTTACGCGAATATGAACTCATGGACGTGATCCGTATTCAACATCTTTAAGCTCACAAAGTAGAGTGGTGTCGTCCACCAAAAACGTCCAAGACCGTAACCTAGCAAGCCAGACAAAGGAATTCGATAGAGCAATTACACTAAGCTTACAGGGATCTGTAGAGAAGGATCACTTGAAACTTAGGCTCGCTTCGCCGTCCGGTATCAGGTATATGTGTTCGCTGATGTCAGCGGAGCATGTTGAGCAGACATGAATAGCGTCAGCGTCTCGCGGAGGCAGATTGCGTTCGTATCCCATGTACTGTTTCAACCCTCCGTATAGAGATTGTGGTTATTACGTGACTGTTTGCGATGGTCTCGGTGATCGTGGTGTCCCTTCCACCTCTTTCTCAGGCTTCATGTCGCGAAATGATCGCCCATCATACGCGCCGCGCAACTCGTATCGAATATCTGTTTTTTTCGTTCAACGTTACATGGTGAGCATATGTTTCCGCTGCTGATCGACGCGACGGAGGTGGACGCGATAGATCGCGATGGGAACTAGACGTGTCGAGTGTGTGCAAGTACAACGCGACGCGGCTCTGCGGCAGGATCGATGATGGCGGGGAATTAGCGCCAACAATGCGGAGCCTCCGCGCGCCGATAGAGCCACAATTTCTGAAAAGCTCTGCCAGCGGACGGCATCGGCGATCTTGAAATGGGCATGGAATCTCAACTTGGAATCGTGGCAGATATACCCTCTTGTCTCGGCCACGTCGTCGCATCCAGAACAGCCATTACCTGAACCTGACAAGCACACTCCCTGATCACCCCTTCACACCAGTCTTACTATCACTACAAACCAAATTCAAAATGGCGACAGATGACATTACGATCCCACAACACGTGGCTATCGCAGAGGCACCCCGCGATGTCGAAGCCATCAAGAAGCAAGAGAAGGCTGCGCTGCTCTCACACTGGGATTCTGACGTTGCGTTCAAGCTCGGTTGCAACCTCCGCACACGCCTGCTCACCTTTGAGCGACCAGCGGTTGTAGATATTTCTACCATCAGTACACCAGGCCATGTGCTTTTCCACGCCGTGAGTGCCCTAACCAAATTCATCGTCGAGAAGCGACTACGCCGTGTAGAGACGTGTTACTAACCCCAAATAGACAACACACTCCGGCACCGCCCTAGACAACGACTTCTGGGTCAGCCGGAAACGCGCAGCTGTCATCCGCTTCAACGCGAGTACATGGCGTCTGCAGAACCAATTTGAGGGCGATGAGGAGAAATTCAAGGCCAAGATGGGACTTGGCGAAACGGCGAAAGACTATGCAATTCATGGTGGTGGTGTGCCCATCTTCATCAAGAACTGCGATGGACCCGTCGCGGTAGTCGTTGTAAGTGGGTTGAAGCAGTGGGATGACCACCAAGTCGTGATTGAGGAGCTGGGTAAGCTTTGCAAAGAGATGGAGAAAGGAAATGGCAGTACGCCAGTCTAGGAGGTTGACGCCTATATAAGTATCTTCAATCATGACTGACTTCTTCACCTAACACTTCCTTCAAATTTCAAATTTCTTAAAACCAAGAAGAATGCCGCTATGGGAACGAAAACGAAAAAAATCCTCGCTATGCGCCTGCGGTCTTCAAAGGAGCACTTCTCAATCCACTTACCCCAAGAAGCAGGAAGAAATTTTATGGATCGCTTTGGCGTCAAAACATCCAAGGAACTAGATCCATGAGCAGGTCATCCATGTGCATAGCCATGTGGTTTCCGAGCCCAGAAAAATACTACGAAAGCCGTCTTCATGATCGCAATGGGCAGTTCCCAACGACTATAAATCAGCATCGTCGTTGCTACCATTACTTTAATCAGACACTTCACAAACCTACAATTTTCAAAAACCCGAAGAAAACAACGGATGACCAGCTCTCTCTGGTTCACTCCAATCCAGATTTTCTTCCATCCCATCTCATGTTGTCTGACATGAATCATAACGAGCAACAGCTATGCTCAAGTGCACAGCTCCCTCAAAAAAGCATAGGCGCGGTCTTATGGTTTGTGATGCTAGCAGCTTGTGCAGTTCTGAAAACGTTAAGCAAACATGTGATGTCCGTCCGCACTTCCACTGTGGGTTTCACAACCGCGCTGTAGCACTTGAAGAAGCATAAATACCTCTCCTGCCAGCTTTCTTCCACTCTATTATCCAAAGATACAATTCCAAATATCAAAAAATGCAGGCCGATCACGCCATGGCTGCTCTTTCTGCTCTCAAAGTTGGTGGAGGTAGTCCGAATGTTTGCTTCGCCGCTCTTCGTCCGTCTATCAAAAACTCTGGTCTGTCCGCTTCACGCAAAAAATATATGATACCTGAGATGCTCCAAATCGACCATCGAACAGAACGATGTCGTCTTTGAAACCACTCGTTCTTTTTCTGATGGGTGCGCTCCTGCTTTGCTCTGTGCCTTCAATAAGAGAAGTTGAAGAGGAGAACGTCATGTCTATTGTCATTGTGTAATTTCAAATGTACAAGACACCTACGCAGCTTTACCCCACCAACATCAGTAGGAATTTGAATCCTACGGGGAAACATCAGTATTGTGTTACATGGTATCATCGATTTCATCCGCGCGATTCAGATTGGTACTCGAACAAAGCTATGTGCTCTACAAGCTTCCATAAATCCCGTGAGGCGTATGAGGTGTTGCATGTGGATTTTCCCATTCAAGTATTACCATTGTGTCCTTAACATCACGCGAAATAATTCGAGCTCTTGACGATGAACAAGAAGGAGTTTGTGGCTGCTACCGGATCTAGCTATCTTCTGATGAGTGTCAGAAGTTGTTGCTGTTATGACTTCGAGGCTAGCTAGATAGAAGCAGTACGAGCTGTCTCCACTATCAGTTCCACCATCGCAGAGAGCGCATTTACCGAAACGTGACTTGATCCGAAGACGAAAGAGGAAAGAGCCAGTAGACATGATGAATGATATGCTAAATTTGCGATATTTGAAGCAAGGAATACAGAATGTAGCCGACCTCATCTCTATCGAAATAATACATAACTTTTCGGTCCTGACCAAGGGTGCCATCTTCTCCAAGACAAGGTCGGGGATCAAGCAGCTCGTAGGGTATACGCGAAGAGACCAGAACGCCGAAATGCAAAAAGGCTACACATGTGTCTACCGCGTAGACACTTAACCTTCCTCAGTATCCATCTGATCGCGTCCTCTCCTTGCACCCCCGCCACGACCTCCTCTTCCTCCACCTCGCCCACCGCGACCGCCCCTGCTACCTCGCTGTTCATGGTAGTCCTTCATCTCCCTTACGGCGATCCTCTGTGCATCACCAACACGCTCCGCATACACCATCGCCTCGTCCTTGTTGATAACCTCTTCCGGGATCTTCTTGCCAAGCGCGTTTTCGATGCGTAGCCAGATCTCAAGGTCGTACTGTGTGACAAACGAAACAGCCTTACCAGACTTTCCAGCTCTGGCTGTTCGACCAACACGATGGACATAGGTCTGGGAATCGCTTGGCAGGTCGAAGTTAACAACGAGGTCGACGGCGGGGATGTCGAGACCACGGGCTGCTACGTCGGTGGCCACGAGAATATCGCGACTCTTGGACTTGAACTTGTTGAGTGCACCGAGACGAGCGGATTGGCCTAGCTGACCGTGTAGAGGGATGGCTCCGAAGCCAAGGGTGCGGAGAAGAACGGATATACGCTGTGTCTCGTTGACCGTGCGCGTGAAGATGATGGTTGGGTGGCCGATGTTGTCGTTGAGGAGGTGAATGAGGTACAGATCCTTCCACTTGAAGGGGAGGAAGATGTATCTTTGTAGGAGGGTCGAGACGACTTGATGTGACGAGCTGCTGATGCTCACACGGACCGGGTTCTGCAAGGCTGCGCGTTGTAGACTCTCTACTTTGGAGGACATGGTGGCGGAGAAGAGGTAGGTGTGGCGTCCTTCCCTGGGAAGGACTTTCAGGATTTTGTCTAGTACTGGACCAAAGTCCAGGTCGAGCAGACGATCGGCTTCGTCGAGCACCATGTACTTGAGGCTGTGTTATGGTTAGCCTGCTGTCCAGTGACTGTTTTAGTCGACAAAACTTACTGCTTGAGCGAGAAGCCCTTGGTGTTCTCCAAATGGTCGAGCAGGCGACCTGGAGTAGCCACCACGATGTGCGGCCTCTTGGAAAGGGCGATAGCCTGAGGGACCATGTCCATACCTCCCACCAGCGTCGCGCACTTGACGTTGATGATGCTACCTAGCGCATCCACCTGCTGTGCGATTTGGTATGCCAATTCTCGAGTAGGCGCCAGGATCAATCCGAAGAGCGGTTGAGGCTTCTCGAGCAGCGACTGGAGTATGGGTAGGACGAATGCCGCCGTCTTTCCGGAACCTGTCTCGGCCAGTCCAATCACATCTCTGCCTTCGAGGGCAAGAGGTATAGCTTGTTCCTGAATGGGAGTTGGGTTCTTGTAGTTGAGACTTTCTACCGTGTCGCATAGTTCTTCGCGGATTCCGAGGTCTCGGAAGGTCTTCTTCGGTGCGTCTGCGGTGGCGGCGGTAGAGGAACCGGCTTCTTCCTCTGGAGTAGCATCATCCGCTACATCCTCTTCTTCTCCATCGTCCGTAGAGTCTCGGTCGGATTCGCTGGGTTCGGATTCTGGTGGTGGTGCAGCCTTCTTCTGGACTTTCTTCGCAGGCGCATTCGATGGTCGCGCTTTCTTTGAAGACGCGCCAGCCGCAACGGCGGCGTCTTTGGGAAGCTTTCTCTTTGTGACGCCTGGCATGATGTTTGTGATTAGTTGAGAAAAGTCGTGCGCAGTCTTCTTGCTCTCGAAGCATCGGAACCAACAGAAGTCGAAATCTTGGCAAAGTGGGACGGACCCACCTAAAAGTTCGAGCGCCAGCCAGCTCTAGTTTGCGACTGCATGCGACAAAACCATTCGTCCGACAACACCAGCACGCCGCCCCTCAACTCATAGCAGTGCAATACAAAGTCGAACCGGAGGGCTCAGAGAAAGTGCCATTCTCAATTCAATAACCGAAGTCGACAAGCAAGCAAACGAGTCTTCGCAATGGCTCGTGGAAAAGGAACCGCGAGGAAGAAGCAGTCGGTACGCGACAAGGAGCTTTCCAAGAAGCCGGTCGCAGGGACTCCGAAATCCATGGTCATCCGTATTGGTGCGCAAGAGTAAGTTGGATCAGATCGAAGGCCGACTTGGTCGCTAACGAAATTCAGAGTAGGAAGATCAGTCTCGGACCTCGTAAACGATGTGCGCCATTGCTTGGAACCTGATACTGCCATCCGACTGAAGGAGCGAAGAGCGAACAAGCTGAAGGTAAGACACAGATATTTGTCTGTATGACTTGAGCTGACAATCTTAAAGGACTTCCTTGTCATGTGCGGACCGCTCGGTGTCAGCCACCTTCTACTCTTTTCACGCTCAGAAGTCGGAAACGTCAACCTCAGGCTATGCCGTGTCCCCCGCGGACCTACTCTCCATTTCCGGGTGGAGAACTACAGTCTCTGCAAAGATATCCTCAAGTCGATGAGGCGTCCACGAGCTGGCGCAAACGACTACATGGTCGCACCACTGCTAGTGATGAACAACTTCCTGACAAGCGACTCGGAGAGAGAACGACTCGGCGACAAGGCACCGCCTAAGCATTTGGAGAAGCTGGTGACAGACATGTTCCAGGGCTTGTTCCCACCCATCCAACCACACACCACCCCTCTACACTCGATCAAGCGTGTCCTTCTGCTCAACCGTGAGCCTCCGTCCGAAGAGAATGGATCTGTCACAATCAGCCTACGACATTACGCGATCACAACAAAAGTAACAGGCGTACCAAAGGCCATCCGACGGTTATACGCAGCTGAGAAGCTCATTGGCAGCAAGGAGAAGAAGAAGAGTGCACTACCAAACCTGGGCAAGCTCGAGGATGTGGCCGACTACATGTTGGACCCTTCAGCTGCCGGTTATACATCCGCCTCGGATACTGAACAAGATACCGACAATGAGGTGGAGGTAACAGCACCTGTGCGACAAAAGGTCTTGTCCCACCGCGAGAAGGAGAAGCTGAAAGCCGGCGACGAGACGTCACACGCACGTGCCAAGGGCTCAAAAGCTCGCGTCGAGAAGCGTGCAGTCAAGCTTGTCGAGCTTGGTCCTCGCATGGTGCTCCGCCTTACCAAGGTCGAGGAGGATGTCTGCGGCGGCAAGATCATGTGGCACGAGTACATCAAGAAGAGCAAAGCGGAAGAGCAAGAATTAGAGAAGAAGTGGACACAAAGAAACAAGGAGAAGGAGGAGCGAAGACGCATACAGAAGGAGAATGTGGAGAAGAAGCGCAAGGAAAAGGCTGCTGCAAGGGGAGAGACTGGCGAAGAAGAAGGCGAAGATGACGAGGATGAGGAGATGGATGACTTGGACGAGTACGATATGGATGATGATGTCTGGCAAGACGCTGCGGACGCTGGAGAGGGAGAAGAAGAGGACGAGGAAATGGATGACGAGTGATATGGTCTTATACAAAAGTCTTAATGATACCCCATTCAACGCTTCATCCCCAACTACGCTCGATCCGTGCTTCCATCCCCGTCACACAAGCACTGGGTATCAAAGTTCTCGCTCACGTCCCCTTTGGCTTTTTAATCAACACCTTCTCCCCATCAGCACTTAACTCCCAGCCCACCCCCTCACTGACCAACTCCTCCCACCTCCTCTCCGTGACCCTCTCCACAAAGCCCTTGTCCGCACTCAAATACGCTTTGCCCAGACACTTGAGCGCATGCACCCTCACCCCGCCATCAGCCCACTCCATAACACTCCTCTGATACCCATCCACACTCTTCCTTACCCGCCAGAATCCCACGTAATCATCTGCGACAAGACACTTCAGCACCTTCTCCACCCTCCAGTCCTTGTACCCATATGCCAACTTCGTCGCTCTTGCGCCCGCAAAATCGGATTGCCGACACGCTTGATCGAGGATCAACAGCCCGACGAATTCGTGCAAGGTAGAGGGTGACAAGGGATTCCGTGGGTGTATTGTGTTGAGCAGGGAGAGGAGAGAGGGGAGGTACGAGGCCCAGTCGTGGCAGAGGATGCTGACGTGGATCGCGAAGGTGTATGCGCGCAGGGCGAAGGCGTCGCTGCGGTTCGAGGCTGTTATTGCTTCGCGGAGTTTGCGCAGGGAGGCGAGCACTGTGGCTAGTTCGTTTATGGAGAGCGTGAAGGCTTTCTGGGGGATCGGGTGGTGCTGGTGTGTCGTAGATGTGTTTGTAGAGGTGGAGGCGAGGGGCGGGCGGCTGGCATATTGGTGCTCTGGGGGCGCGTGTTTAGAGAGGGAAAGCGAGGAGAAGGACGATGTGAGTTTGGAGTTTGCGGTCGAGGCTGACTTCGTATCTGTGGAAGTGGACTGGGGGACGCTGACTGAGACGAAGAGACGGTCTAGTTCATCGCGGTTGAGGGCGCAGAGCTTCATGTAGCGCTCTATGATGCGGTTGAAGTAGACTTCTTGCGTTTTGAAGTCATTGAGCCTGTGAGATCAGACATTGCGCCTCGACGTGTAGGGTGAGAGGGAGACATACCGCGTCTCTCCCTTGGAAGGCAGCCCATATGTCTCTAGAACATCTTCGCGAACTGGTTTCAAGCGGTTCCATGCACCTGAGGCGGCGCGACGGCTGCTGGGTCGGGCGGGATCTGATGACTTCATGGTGCTGGCGATTGGTTTGGGCGTCCTGGTGAAGGGAATAGGGGGTCAAGTAATGTCGAAAACCTTGATTATCATGGCTGTAGGTCACCGAACAGATTTCAGACTCATAGTGCCCAGGCAGGTAGCAGTGAAGGTAGTCGCGCTGGAGGTTCGGGAAGGTGGAATGGAGGGGCAGCGCCCAAGCTCGACGCGTCTCAGACCATCATCGTCACGACAGGGACACAGAGCTCAAGGCGTCTGAATGTCGATGAACGTGTTTAGCGGTAGACCGCTACCCTGTTGAAGCGATGTGTTGTTCTCGCAAGCCTCGCCTGACGCGGCGTAGTTCGCGCGTGGTCCCTGAAGTGTTCGCGGATTGTCCGAGGCCGCTTCATGACATGTGAACTCCTAACAAGTTCTCATATACTGCAAATCTTTCCCTCGCGTTCTGCTTATCCATCTTCTCCTGAATTTTTCCCGATATGGAAGCCACCAAGAAAGCGACCTCGAAGGCCGCAGAAACCGGAAAAGAGCTAGAACAAAAGGTCGAAGAAAAGTTGATATTACTATGGGACGAACTCTCCCCGTGGCAGCAGGACAATCACTACATCCAGTCAGGATACCGCGCTCAATCTAATTCCTACATCAAGTCCTGGAAGAGCCTGGGATATTTGCACAACGAAACCGTCAACATCTACACACATCTCGTCGGTGCTTTGATGGCTGCCGTATCCTCAATAGCTCTATACAGCACACTCGCGCCTCGCTATGAGACGGCTACGCAAGAGGACGTGTGGGCGTTTGGCTGCTATTTTGCTGGAGCTATAGCATGTCTGGGTATGAGCGGGACATATCATACGATACAAAACCACTCCCATGAAGTCGCTGTATTCGGCAACAAGCTCGACTACCTGGGCATTGTGTTCTTGATCTGGGGCAGTTTCATACCAGTTATATACTACGCGTTTGGCAACGAACCAGAGTTACGAAGAACGTACTGGACCATGATCACGACGCTGGCAGCTGGCACTTCTGTTGTAGCGACACACCCCAAGTTCCGCACTCCGGCACTGAGGCCATTTCGAGCGCTCATGTTTGTGCTCATGGGTCTTTCCGCTGTGTTTCCTGTGCTTCACGGCGTTCGACTGTATGGGATCGAACATCTGCGAAAGAGCGTTGGGCTGGATTGGGTTCTTTTGCAGGGCGCGCTGTACATTGCTGGCGCCGCTATCTATGCTGCGAGGGTACCTGAGAAGTGGAGTCCCGGGAAATACGACATCTGGGGCTCAAGTCATCAGATCTTCCATGTATTGGTTGTTCTGGCAGCAGCAAGCCATCTGGTAGCTTTGGTTACGGCGTTCGACTACGAACACAGCCACAGGCTGCAGGAAGTGATAGGAGGCGAGATTTAGACGTAAGTATACGATATCCAAAGCATTCAGCTACAAGCAAGAACCAATACTATCTCTGACAAGTTTCTTCTATGTATCGTGAGATTTCGTATTGCAATCTGCCCTGAAGGAAGCGATCAACAAGGATGTATTTCCAGAATGCAGCCGAACGACGCACAGGCCGGGAGATGACGCCGTGGCTCGATCTGCCAGCCACCTTCTATGGGGAAGGTACTTTTGTGGGTCAGGGCGGCCAATCAAACCTCAGGACTGCAGCTTCCGATCTTCGAGCTCACTTTCCCAGCACTCAGGTTCCCGGCTTCCATTCTTCTCTTTTCTTCCACACAACCCGTCGCGTCTCTTCACACTGCTTGCGCATCATCTCTACGCATCGAAGTATCCTTTTTAGCTTTACGCGCATCAATTGCTTCCCTGCCCCGCTTTCGCGACATCTCACGCAGGTTTGCGAAGCATAACGTCATCTCATACCGTCAGCGCCTACTGAGCTGTATCACACACAATGACTGACACTGAGATCCAACAAGGAGACAAGGGTACGTTTTTCTCACCTCTCCGATCCGACACTTCCTCGAGGGCATAGTGGCTGCGCCTAGCATCCTCCTGTCAGGCGCATTGCGCGCCAGCAAGCGCAACGATTGTCAGTCCTCGCGCGTTGCTATGCTCTCGATCGCATCTAATACAACCCCAAGAATCATCTGTGAAATCATTACTGACGTGCAATTCATCAGTCTCATGGAACTGGGGCTCAGGACAGCCCGGTGGTGAAGTTGCTGAGGTCAAGGACCAAGGCGAGATTGCTATCGAATCAAAGAAAGGCAACACCATCAAGAAGAACGCCTCACCTGACAACCCCGCTGTTCACGTCGAGCGCTCTGGCAACGACGTCGTGAAGCGCGCTTCCGAACTCCAGATCGACGAGAAGACCGACGGTGCCAACGGAGAACAAGCTAACGGCGACTCCAAGGAAGGCGACAAGGAAGCTGAGTCAGAAAAGACAGAGGACAAGTCAGCAGAGTCGGAGAAGAAGGATGACGACAAGCCCGCTGAAGCCGAGAAGAAAGACGAGGAGATGAAGGACGCGCCAGACAGTGAGGAGAAGAAGGAAGAGGCGCAAACCAACGGCGACTCCAAGGCCGAAGAGTCCAAGGAGGAGTCAAAAGAAGAGGCCAAGGACGACGCGACAGAAGACAAGTCCGACGAGAAGCCTGCAGCCGACGAGAAGGACGACGAACCTCAAGCCGGCGACAAGCGCAAGGCTGAGGAGTCGGCGGATAAGACCAACGGCGCAGATGCCGACGAGAAGCCCGCAGAGAAGAAGGCCAAGACTGATGAGGCCGAGGCCGAAGATGAGAACAAGGACGAGGACAAGGATGAAGCCGAGACAAAGCCCACTCCCAAGAAGGGCGGCCGTCCCAAGAAGGAGAAGAAGGAGCCTGCAAAGAAGAAGGCACCCAAGAAGGCTGCTACCGCCGATGGTACGCCCCGTCGCAGCGGCAGGACCAACAAGGCGTCGGTAAATATGGCTGAGGATTAGAATTCCCTCCCTAGTAAAATGGCAATGGGCACGGTATCGAACGCGGCGCAAAACTCGGATGAGTTGGAACGGGCAGAGCAAGGACAACAATGATGGCATGAACGGATATTGGGTGGAAAGGAATCTGGATTCGGCGCTAAAAGGGATTGAATCTTGGTATCGTTCTCCTTTACTACGGTAGCAATCTTGCTTTTCCTTTAGTCTATTTTTTGTGTAATAGTACCAGTAAGATGAAAATCAAAATCAAAATCAACAGTACCTGTCAGCTTTCTCTTTGTGATTTCTTGGTTCTTTGCGCATGGTCACGGAAATGGTACGTGGCCAAAGTATGTGGCTTTACAAGAAAGAAACAGGGTTCCATTGAATGGCATGGCTATGAATTTCTACAGACTATCCTTGTTGGGTGTTTGTGATTGTGGTGTGCCTGATGAAACTTGTCAGCGATGTTGCACTGTAGTTTATGTGGTAACGTAACAGGCGTGGGTTATCTCTACTCAGACAGGAAATACTCATTCAAGGAAGGCCGTGAAACCTTCTCCGATCCGTCTTGAAACTTGTGATTTGTATTGTAATCATCATATTGAGATGGGAAATTGCTGGAAGAAGAAGAATTGCGACTTACGTGAGTTATTGCAGTGCCGTAGAGCTTTCTGCGGTTAGTGTTGAGATGGTGGATGCGCGTGTGTCATTCGTGATATATTCATCGCGCAGGAAACATTGCGTATATATAGCCTTCTTGGCTCATGCCATGATTGGGCTGTTGTGATCGAGGAGGAAGAGATTGAGAGAGCTGCAAGCTAGAAGGAAGGATCTTGCGCGTTTTGAAGCGAGAGCCTTGGCGGGGCAGGGACCATGTGTCCTGAGAGCTCTCCCCACCTTCTTCGCAGCAACGTTTATCATGCTCCCTATCTTCATCACCTTATAAGATTCAGCTTCTGTATTATGTCGATCTGGATGCACGATGAAAAGGATGTTTCATCGCCTTACAACAAAGAAGACTCAGCGACCTTACTTCAGCCTACTGCCTGGGTATTCCACGGCCAACTTCCAACGATCGAAGCACACGATTGCGCTTAGTTGCAGAATGCAGTCGTACATCCTAGTTTCAACATGCGGCTCCTAGACGCACGTACTTTTAGATTGAAGACATTCTTCAACAACATTCCGCCATATGCCATCCTTTCTCACTGCTGGGAGGATGAAGAAGTCGTGTTCTCGGATCTAGATGATCTAGAAGAGGCTAGGAAGAAGAAGGGTTTTGCGAAACTTCAAAAGACTTGCGAACTTGCTATCGAAGATGGATTTGAATATGCGTGGATTGACACATGTTGCATAGACAAAAGCAGCAGTGCTGAGCTTTCGGAGGCTATCAACAGCATGTTTTCATGGTACAGGAACTCTAAGCAATGCTATGCCTATCTCGCCGACACATATTTCACCAAAATAACGCTTCCAGACTTAATCGGAATTGGGGCCGACAAAGAACTGCCGGTTAATTTCGCCGGTAGTAGATGGTTCAAACGAGCATGGACGCTCCAAGAGCTACTCGCTCCACGAAGTCTCCACCCCGGTCGTCAGGATGGTATGAAATTCTATCCCGGTCGTCAGGATGGCATGAAATTCTATTCCAATGAATGGCTACTATTTGGAGACAAGATTAGTCTGGCTGAATCGATCTCGGAGATCACGGGCGTTCCCACTCGGTACCTAGAGGGGCAAAGCCTACAGAGCGCAAGCATTAGTATGAGGATGTCATGGGCCGCAGGCAGACAGGCGAGAAGATCTGAAGACATCGCCTATTCCCTCCTGGGATTGTTCGATGTTAACATGCCATTACTCTATGGCGAGGGGAAAGTGAAGGCGTTTAGAAGATTGCAGGAAGAGATCATGAAGTCATCGGAGGACGAAACGCTCTTTGCGTGGGAAAGTGCGCACTCCAGTACATCTTTAGACGTGCTCGCGAACGACCCGGATGACTTCAGTGAAGCCAGCCAATTAGTACCCTTCGCGTCCGACGTCCCAGTCCCTCCTTATGCCATGACTCATCGTGGGCTCCGCATATGGCTACCACTGTTCGAAACCCAGCAACTCAACGATGATGATCGCTTGACCATGCGGCCTCTGCGCTCACCAGTCATGATACTGGCTGGTGTCGACATAGTCTGGGCGGTCCTCCGATGCCACCTCATGCATGACTTCGATCGCATTGTGATCATTCCATTGCGATGTCTGTCTGCGAATGTCTATCTCCGAGACACGGATACTCGCATTTCCCTGATTTCAGAAGCGTCGTTACCTCCTACCATGTCTACCAAAGAGATCTACATGAGAAACAGTAGCACTGCGGCCATTTCGGATAGTGTCCGGCGGCGGTTCGGTTTTCTCATTCGGAAGCTTCCTGCAGACTCGTACATAAGTCAATGTTTTCCAAAGGAAGCTTGGAACGACAAGGACGGGATTCTACAGGGCAAACGAGACGACTCAGTGGCTAGCTCATGGAAGGCGAGCCTACAGCTGACATTCCCCTCGCTTGTAAATAAAAAGTTGCGAAAGGCCGGTTGCGTCGTTTCTCTGACGTTTGGGTGTACACAAGATGAGCATGACAGCGAAGCGAAGCCTCACGCGTGGTACAGCACCGACAAATATGGACCAGTGGACTACCATAAGGCAATGGAATCGAGTTTCACTCGACAAACCAATGCGTGGTACGCGACCGACAATGTCACCTCGTCAGACTTGGATCTGAAAGTGACTATCACGCCTAGGAAGATCTTTCTACAAGATATGTTTGTCGTGGACATTGAAATGGGCGGTCTTTACGAAAGTATTACGGTAGAAGAATTCAAGGCTCGGCGTAAACTGTTCAAAACAAGAGATTCGCAGGAGACGCTAACAGGTGTCGACCAAGACTGGTTCACACCGGACCCGCGTGGGACTCGAGTCTCGCAATCCTCAGTTTTAGCCGTCTTGGGATTGAGGCGCGCCCCAACAGAGTAAAGGTAGTAACGATTTGAGCACATACTGCTAGCGTCGATTCAAGTACATAGCCATGTGGTCTTCTTTTTAAAAAGCCCAGCTGAGTCTATCGCAGTACTGTACTGCTCACATTTCACGGGCAAGATCCAACTATGCATCAAAGCATAACAAAGCGTCAGGCTGCCAAGCAGTTGTACCACAGATCAAATGTTGCTCTGCAATATCATTTGAAGGAATTGAATCACACAGATTTCCCCTCCGCTGTGGACCAATGATCACCGCGAAGACATGCTATTGCTCGCTGCTAAATACAAACACATGGCCTTGAACCACTTGAAATTATACGGTCTACTATCACCGAAGACGTCCGGAGTGTAGATCGATGGTTTTGGCACGCGCAAACTAGATCGTGTTAGCAAGTTTGACTTTCACGAAGAGGTATGTACTCACTTGTGTCTTATGCCACAGCTTCCAGACAATGATTGGCACTATAAAAAGTGGTATGCCAATGTACGAGGCGATGAAATCACCCGTATTCCAGTTTCCCTTCAAAAACACAGGGAATCCTGTAATCAAAGTAATGATAGTGGACCCAATGAACCCATACCATGCGGTAAAAGGCTGGAACGGGCTCTTCCAAGGCAAGCTGTCTCGACTGTGTCCCTGCGCTTTCATGGCAGCATAGAAGCGGATGAAGCAGAAACACAATGTCGCCCAGGCAATCAATCCCGCAACAGTGCTAAGACTGACTAGCCAGCCGAACGCTTGTGCAGCACCACCAGAACCCAGACTGAGATATGCGAGAGGTCCAAAAGCCCAAGAAGCGAGGACCGCCCAGTACGGTACGCCGTTACTCCAGGTACGGCCGAAGAATTGTGGGAGCTGGCGGTCCGTGGTCATCGCGACGATGATACGGGATCCGACCCAACAGTAAGAGTTACCTGCCGACCAGGCAGATATGAGAATGCAGGCGTTCACAATCGAAGGGAGGGTGCTGATGCCTGCCTGCTTGATGGCGATGACCCAAGGTGAAGAGTTGGCATTTCCACTGTCTGACACGAGACCGGGATTCCTAGGGTCGACAATGATTCCAATAAGAAGAGCACCCAGAACATAGAACAGTGCGATTCGGAATGTAACCCGTTTGGCCGACTTTGGGATGGCAACGTGAGGGTTGATGCTCTCGGCAGCTGTAATAACCACCACCTCGACGCCGATGAAGGAGAACGCCGCGTTGACGAACGATGCCAAGAATCCCAGAAAGTGACCCGTTGGTCCAGTGATGCCATTGTAATCTACCCAGGCTCCGGGGTTGTTCCAGTAGCGGAATCCAATGGTCTCGCCGTTTGGTGCGCCTCCGGACGTTATGACAATAGAAACCAGGATCAGACCCAGGAAGCACGCGATCTTGATCGTACCTGCAGCGACTTCCGATTCACCAAACCAACGCACGCTAAGCAGGTTGATTGCGAGAATGAGGACAAGACTGATGGTAATGACAATAGCAGGTGACATGTCAGTCCAGTAGCCGACCAGGATTGCGGATGCCGAGCATTCGGCGGCGATGGATATAGTGTAGCAATAACCATAGCTTATAGCCAAGGAGAATCCGACAGCCGGGTCAATGAAGCGGCTCGCGAAATGTGGGAATGAGCCAGCAGTAGGAATCTAAATGATGGTGAGCACGATCTTGAGATAAATCGCCATAGGATACCGACCACCGTAGCCAGTTCTGCAACACTTTGCATGACACACCATAAGACACTTCCGACAACGATGTAGGCAAGCAACAACCCTGCAGGTCCAGCATCTGCATATGCAGAGCCGGTTCCAATGAAAAGTCCTGTCCCTATTCCAGAACAAAAACCAATCATGGTGACATGATAGTCCTTGAGACGACGCTGGGTAGCGCCATGACCACCGACGTTCAGTTGTGGCTCGATGATTGGCTTACCATCGTCGGAATGATGGTAGTCGATATGGGGCGAACTCTCGATATCTCGGATGTGGTCCAACATGTTTGCGGGGAAAGGGTTTGGAGACGCACAGGCAATAGGGTCCGCGGGTTACTACTCTGTGGCTACATTATAAAGCTTCCTAGATGATACGTACTCGTATGCTCTTATCCCTTGTCGATCAGGAAATTCTCTTTCGCGCCATCAAAGCACGTCATGTAAATCTACTGTAAGCCTGGACCACCCTGTGGTGGCGCTGCATGGAGTCGCTGAGTATCGTACGAACATCATAGAACATATCTTGCAACTTTGGGGGTTTCCTGGAGTATCTAAATGGCCAGGTAACTATGCATCGATCAACAGCAGCAGCCATGCTTGGTTTCAGACATTTTATCGATAGACATAGAGCATCGCTATATGATTTGTTAGACGAGCTAGTTTCCTGTAAATCGTGAAATTCCGGAATGGGCCGATTTTAGCGCCGCGAAGTTTTCTTTAGATGAACACGCTACCGGCTGCTGGTCCGTATCACGCTAGTTCCATCCGCTCAACAACAGAATTGTGGAGACGTGTGAGTACTTTCTGATGCTTGTTCTCTAGCATTACGGAGGTATCTATCGGATCGCTTATACTTTGACTTTCAACGTCCAACGTCTTCCTAAACACGCCCAGCGACTGAACAAGAAGCTAATCAACGACAACCCGAGGATTGCACAGAAGAAAGCTACCATAGGTTGAGGCCCGACAGTCTCAACGAGCTCTCCACTGATTGGGATGCAGACCAGCGTCGCAAGAGAAGCGATGAAGTACATGCTTCCATAGTATCGGCCAAACTCTTCTGCTCTGCATAGCTGTCCCACACATGCAGGCGTAAGAGCCATCCACGAACCCGTACCAAATCCAAAGAGCGCTGCGAAAGCGTACAGTGCTGGAAGCGATGTTGTACCAAACGGCAACCACAGGACCAACATCCAGAGCAAAGTGAAAAGAATCATGACGAACAGGGTATTGAATCGACCAATCTTGTCTGCGACATAGCCTGGAAATAGTCGTCCGAGGCAAGATACTCCATTGAGTACGGCGATGAGATAGAATCCAGTATCCGGCGGAAAGTCGGTGCTTATCGATGCATATGTAGGCATAATGCCCAGCCCACCAAAGAGAACGACCTCAAAACCGAAAACACTCAATGTGAACAGGCTCAACCTTAGATCACCGTAGATCGAGAGTGAGATTATTGCCTTCTTCTTTGCAGCAGCGGATGGTGGAATGCGAGCTTTCATCAGGATGTTGGCGACGATGAAGCAAAAGAGGAATACAAAACCCAGTATCCGGAGCGACCATGCGTAGCCATACTTTGGAAGGGTAGTGCGTAGGATTAAAGGGATTGCCAAACCACCAGCGGAGCTGCCCATCATTGCGATGCCTTGGGTGAGACCTCGTCTCGCTTTGAACCAATGCGCAACTACCGCAAGACTCGTAGTGGTCAGCATGGCGCCGGAGAATCCTCCCAGTACACCGCAGCAAAGGATCATCTGCCAAAACTTGTCGCACTCAGCAAGTAGGAAGATCATCAGTAGGAACATGACACTTCCGGTCAGAGCGATCCATCGTGGCCCATAACGGTCGAAGAGTGGTCCCACCCAGATGCCCAACGCAAGGGACAAGTAAACGAACACCGAAGGGATCCATCCAATATCACGCGCCGACATGTACGAGAGCTGATGCTGGCCCCAGTAGTCCTGAAGTGTGCCGATGGAAACCATGAAGCCAAAGGAAGGGAACAGCATCAAACACGCTGATGCGACAACGAGCCATGCACGCAGTCCACCCTCAGGAAAGTCATCCTCTGCGTCTACGATAGGTATTCCGGGCTCTTCGTCTAGCTCGTCGATGGGTTGCGTCCTATGCGACCGTGTACGCCCGTGCGATCGGATTTCCATCTCTTGATGAATAGACTGCTTCGCTTCGCTCCCCGTTTTCGATCGTCCTGTCATCTTCGATACTGTCCTCCTCAGCCCATCCCAAATCTCATCCGGTTCGGCATAAGGTCTCCCGTCGCTCGTAGTCATTCCGTCCTGCACCTGGACAGTCGGGTTGGCGATTGGATCCATCTTCGAACAAGGCCCTCGTCTTCCTCTTTATCGGATTGGATAGGAAAATACAGCAGAATTGCGTCAAGCGCTCGTAGCGTGGACCAAAAGTTTTCTTATCCGTCAGGAAGTTGTGTGGTCGTGGACCACGAAATCCGCTGCTCCTTATAGAGCAGCATCCGGACAGTCATACCTCATTGGTAGCATAGCTTGGCGCAAAATGTGCATCTATGACAGCAAAAAGATGCATAAGGCGTATCAAGCGTCAAGGCCTCTGAAGCGCGCCCTATCGGCGAGTGAACCGGCGTTGTCGGGACCTGCCCCGCCTTCTAGTACGTTCGGAGCTTTCTGAACACTCCGATGTACCCCTGGCTGCGCGTGCTGATACTCCGAGATCGCCATGTTAAAAACGATAAGGGCTATATGAAGCTTGCCGGCACAAGGCGTAAGGGCGTAGGTGGAGACGTGGAGACGGTTGTGGCTGCTGGTGATTGAAGTTGTAAGGCGCGACGAAAGCCCGCGGGCTTGGGGGATGATGACTGACTCATCCACTGGTTATTACATCAGTCCGATAAAATACTCAGCATCGCCTTTTTCAATTCATACATCGACTGACTATGGACTATCCACTAGCTACCTACAGACCTGCACCTCACTTCGGTACAGCCGCAATGACGGAATGGAACCTCACATCGTCATAGCAATGCACGTCCACCATCTTCAGTCCTGCGCTTTCAAACAACTTCGCCCAATCCTTCCTACTCCTTTCAATGCCGCCGAGCGCTGCCATCATCGCAAGATCCATCATAGCAACCTGCCAAGGTACCTTTGTTTCTGGTAACACCACCTCATCGATCAGGATGCGCGATTCTGGGCCCATTGCCGGGATGATGCTTGAGAGGATGCGCACACAGTCTTCATCCGCCCAATCATGCATGATATGGCGCAAGTAGTAGAACTTAGCACCACGAATCGGTTGCTGCGTGAAGAAGTCATGGGTTTGGAACTCGATACCATCCACTTTGGGCGCATGTGCAAGAGTCGAAGGGACATCTTGTACGACGATACGACCGGGGAGCTCAGGAAACTTCTTTTTGAATGCCACAGAATGTTGACCGAAACCGCCGCCAACGTCAACCAGAAGCGCAGATTCGTCTGCAGGCTCAAAGTCGCCAACAACTTGCTGAGCAGGGTATGAAGAGACCCAACTATCGACAGAGTCGAGCACCATGATGTGGCCGAGTGCTTTCATCTGCTCACCATCCTGCTTCATCCACTCGAATGGCGTCAGTTCCGTATTCATTGCCATATGAAATGGCAGATCCTTGGGGTTGGTGATGTCTTGGTAGTCGTGCCCTTTTAGGTAGCCAGGAAGCGCGTTTACAACCGGCAGGTGGAGCTTCGATAGATGTGGTGCGGCGCCGTTGACATGCGGATCTGCGAAGACGCGTGTCGTTCGGCTTGCTGCGAAAACGTCTTTCTCAACTTCTTTGATAAGTCCAAATGATGCCATAGAGCGGAGCAAGTGGGCAAGTAGGTTCGGTGCTGCGCCTGTCTTTTCCTGGAAGTCCCCGTGCGTCATCGGCGTCGCGGATGAGGAGAGCGTGGTAAAGATGTTGAGATCGATTCCAACATCAACAAGAGCCCATTGAAGAGGCTGATGACGTTAGTGAAAGGTATCCAAGGCGTGTGGAAGACTCACTGCCATCGCTAGGCTGAACATCATCTCCCAGTCGCTATAAAGATCCTTTTGCAGGTCTCGAACCTGTTCTTGGATTTGTTGTCGTTCACGAGCATTGCTCTTTGCGTACAGTTCGCGGATGTTCTGTGCTGCTGCTTCCATGACTGCAGGGTTATGGATGTACACTATGAAGTTGTTTATTGAGAGACGATGAGATGGTTGTGTTGATACATGTCTAATATTTTACCTTCGATCTTTATATCTTCCCTCTCTTCAGGCAACCACCTCATCCCTTTCGATGTCGACCGAATTGTGCGAGATCTAGGTTGGTGGTAATAAGGCCATCCGCAAGTAACAGCGAGATTGCCGAACAGACCGATTTTGCCGATGCGATGTCCGCGGTACATCTCTCCATAAAAAGTTACACACACTCTCATTGTAGCATCACCCGGTCTAGATTCTACACTTCATCTGATGATTGATTTGTTTAGTTGTATCCTCCGCGAGCTGGGGGAGGAGCGATTGTGCGAGTAATCTGACCAGGGATGCTGAACCTCGGCATGTCGATCGTTCCCCACATCTCCGGGCGTCCTCCGCATCACGCTTGTTTCGCGTTCCAGGAACATCAACAAACACGATAGGAACGCTCGAGAGATCATCAGGTTCCGCGAGTATCTATACAAGACACAACTGTCCTTCCTGCGAAGAACACCTCTGAGTTCCATCATCATGTCCGAGACAAAACCACTTGCAAAGACCGAGGAAACAACCTACTACGAACCAGATCCAGACTCCTACGTCAGCTATCAACGCGAAATATATGCCAGTCTTCGAAAGCCCAAATACTCAACGAAACCTGCACAATGGGAAGCAGCTGCTCGAGCTGCGGTTCCTGAACCAAATTTCCTTTATGTCAACGGCTCTGCAAGCAGCGAATCAACATATACAGCAAACGTGTCAGCTTTCGAGAGATACCGACTACGTCCATGGATGCTGGTGAAGGCTACTCGACGCGACATGTCTGTTGAGATCTTTGGACGAAAGTACAAAAGTCCATTGCTTGTGGCACCAATTGGTGTACAAGAGATTCTTCATCATGACGCCGAAGAAGCAACCGCAAGAGCTTGTGCTGCTGTGAAGGTACCTATGATCCTTTCAACGGCTGCTACTCGAAGCATCGAGCAAGTCGCCCAGGCCAACGGAGATGGCGACCGGTGGTACCAACTCTATTGGCCTAAGCCGCAAGCTGAGGAGCTTACGGCGAGCTTGCTTAGCCGCGCAAAGGCAAGCGGCTTCCAGGTGCTAGTTGTGACTCTCGACACGTTCATGATAGGCTGGCGACCAAATGATCTCGATGAATCATACATCCCCTTCATTTGGGGCCAGGGCTGTCAGATCGGCTTCTCAGACCCTGTCTTCAATCGCATGTACGAGGAGATGCAAGCTGCAGATACTCGTAGCATCAGCGAGAAGGTGTCGGAGATCTGGCAGATTCTGAAAAGACTGGGGAGCATCGGAGGAGCGGCGAAGGTCCTGAGCCATGCCAGCATCATTAAGAAGGCCATGTTGTTCACAGATCTGGTAGCGTCTGGGAATTACCGCGATTGGAACGATTTGAAGATTCTTAGGAAGTATTGGGATGGGCCTATTGTGTTGAAGGGCATTCAGACCGTGGAGGATGCGCATCGAGCTGTTGAGCACGGAATGGATGGCATCATTGTCTCTAACCATGGAGGACGACAGCTTGACGGAGCGATTGCATCGCTAGACGCGTTGGCGGATATTGGTGCTGATGACAAGATCAAAAGCTCGGGCTTGACTGTGCTATTCGACTCTGGTATCCGAACTGGGTCAGATGTTCTCAAAGCCCTCGCCTTGGGGGCAAAAGCTGTCTTGGTTGGACGTCCGTATGCATATGGCCTTGCGATGGGAGGCGAGGAAGGTGTTAAGCACGTACTCAACTGTATGCTCGCTGATACAGACAACTCATTGGCGAATCTCGGGAAGAAGAGTACAGCGGAGATCAGTCGGGACGATTTGAGGGTGATGCAACAGCCAGCAAAGTTGTAGTTGGCAACCTAGGCGCCTACCAATGATGTTTGTGCTGCGAGCTGTATAATAGTTTCGCAGATCGATGCATACCTGAAGGTCAGCGGTAGCAGCACTTCAAGGCAATTGTATTGTAAGCACCAAAAGGTCGAGATAGTTATCATCCGTCAAGGATGTCTGCAATCTTGTCCCCAGCGTCCCCGGCGACACCAGAAGGAAGAATGAGTGGTTGATGATAAACACCCGTGGGGTGTGATTTCCCAATCAGGAAGGTTTGGCTTTGAGCGTTGATGATGGCGATATTCGCCCAATGCCGCCCATGGTGCCCATGGTGCCCATGGTGCCTACGCGATCGCTGAATGGCGCCAGGGGCCGCTCAGTGGTGCTCACACTCATCCAATGCCTGCCAGCCATATATGCCATGCTCACCAAACGCCTGCAACCTCGACTCAACGAAATCTCAACGGCTAGACGCAGTTCCATATTTACACCACATAGCACGCACACCATATCAGGAGACTGGTATCATTTTTTGGCCAGCGCTAACGTTATCATCACTGATGGTAGACACAAGTGAGACGAGTGTCGCTTTTTATGCAGGTTGGTACAACAATAGTCCCAAATGGCCTCAGCACATCTACGTATGATGGCTATTGCGCATGAGGCCGACTTCGACACAAGCAGTAACGGGTCCGCCATGGCATGTTGTTGGAGGCGGTCAATATGCCATCTCTTCCAACCTTGGAAGGCGCGGACTTATGTATGCCCCGTCTTGTTACCATTGCATGACGCACGGAGCTGTTAAAGCCTGTCATGACGTTAGCATCGCGTTTGTGGCGGATTGCCAATGTGCAGCGGGCCGGATGCAACGGCTCCTGGCCGTACTTCCGCACGACTCAGATCGTTTTATTTCATGATGCTTCCAAGGTTTTGGGCGCCTTGCATAGAGGCAGTATATGTCAGTGCGTTGGTGGTTGGGGAAGGGTCTTTGCATGCGGGCACTACCATCGCTGGCAAGCTTAGCGTTCGAGATTCATGTGGAGCTCATTTTTCCGCCGACGCTTGAGAAATGCCACCATTCAGACAAACGCACTAGACTCAACACATGCAGCACCAAGCATTGGGGCGGCCTCGTAAACATGGCTTGGGAGGCTTGTCTTTGCAGTTTGAGCCGCATGGCGTTGTTGTGCGCGCAGAAGAAACACCACGAAAACTATCGCGAAACTCACGACGGTCGTCGCTCGTCGGTATGTTGGCCTCTATCTCGTGAACAAAGCCTAGTATCATCCGAAAACTACGGATGACTGGTGGAAGAAAATATAATCGGGTCTGTGGAGGCGGCCTATTCCCAAAGGTGGAGTCTGGGGTCGGGCAGGTTCCTCCACCAGATGATAACGACGCAATGCCGGGGGACTGTGTTGCCGATGGTGCCACCCTAGGCATTTGATGTTTCTATTCAAAAGCCTGCTTCACCCTCACCAAAGGTACGCCAGTCACCCTGCCGAGCTGCGACGACATAGCCAAGATGGTGTCCAAATTCTTCAAAAACCGCAGGGTCTATCTGCTGACTAGCGTTGCCTACATGGGCTCGCTGCTGTTCGGTAAGCACAAATTACCCGTTTCCTTTGACAAGAGCTGACAACAACGTAGGTTATGACACTGGAGTGATGGGTAGCGTTCTCGCGCTCAAGGCTTTCAAGGAAGATTTCGGACTGCCTACAGACTCATCTGGATTCTCCGACTCAAAGAACGCGTCGGTGTCATCGAATGTCGTTTCGCTCCTCACCGCCGGTTGCTTCTTTGGAGCCATCGCGGCTGCCTGGTTCAACGAACGGTTCGGTCGACGGCTATCTCTCATGGGTTTCTCCCTCGTTTTCCTTATCGGTGCCGCGATCCAGACTGCCGCCCACCATGAGATCGGCATGATCTACGCAGGACGCGTTATCGCTGGTCTCGGTATTGGAGGAATGTCATCCATCACTCCCGTGTTCGTCGCAGAAAATGCACCTCCAGCTCTTCGAGGACGTATCGCCGGTCTTTTCCAAGAATTCCTGGTGATTGGCAGTACCTTCGCATACTGGCTTGATTATGGAGTCGCACTCCATATGCCCGTCTCAACGAAGCAGTGGAGAGTCCCGGTATCGATCCAACTGATTCCAGGTGGTTTCATGTTGATTGGGCTTTTCTTCCTCAAGGAATCTCCTCGATGGTTGATGTCGAAGGGTCGGCAAGAAGAAGCTGCGGAGTCACTCGCATTCATTCGCTGCGAACAACACGACAGCCCCGAACTTCTGCAGGAACTGGCAGAGATTCGTGCGGCTGTAGAGGAGGAGCTCAACATGACGGAAGGCATTACATGGTAAGTTGTGGCTGTGAAGAGTGCATGCGAGACATACACTGACTTCGTATCTCCATCTTGACAGGAAAGAATGCCTTCTTCCTGGTAACCGATACCGTTTTATCACTGCTTTTGTGCTCATGTTCTGGCAGCAGTTTAGCGGAACAAACTCGATCGGTAAGAACAGAACGCCATCGAATGTCGAATACCTTGGTCTAACAATTTGCTAGGTTATTATGCGCCCCAAATCTTCCAGACTATCGGTGTCTCCAAGTCCAATGCCTCGCTCTTCGCAACCGGTATCTACGGAACCGTCAAGGTGATCACAACGGGTATCTTCTTGATCTTCGGAATCGATTTCATTGGGCGCAAATACTCACTCATGGGTGGTGCGGCATGGATGGCGGCCATGATGTTCATTATTGGAGCTGTTCTCGCCACCTACCCGCCAAACCCAGACGCTGACTCCGTATCATCACCCTCCATTGCCATGGTGGCCATGATTTACCTTTATGTTATCGGATACTCGGCTTCTTGGGGCCCCGTTCCATGGGTATACTTGTCAGAAATCTTCCCAACGCGGCTTCGATCCTACGGTGTCGGAATGGGATCTGCGACTCAGTGGCTCTTCAACTTCGTGATTACGAAGATCACCCCAGAGGCTATCAATCGTGAGTGTGCCCGTACGGACTCTATGTGAGACATACACTAACTTCGTACATCAGACATCGGCTGGAAAACCTTCCTTATGTTCGGTATCTTTTGTCTTTCCATGGGCATTTTCGCAACGTTCTTCATCAAGGAAACTAAGGGAAAGACTCTCGAAGAGATCGACATTCTCTTCGGAGATGTGTCAGCCGAGCAGCGCCTCCAAGATGTCGAAGCGGGAATGAAGGAGGAACAGCGGAAGCACTCGGTAAAGTACATGGAGGACGCCACCGAGCTCGAGAACAAGGCAGGGAAAGAGTAGGCAAGACTTTAATGATGTTAGCGAGGTTTGAGGCTCCTAGTAGACCAATGTGCATGCTTCAGCGGAGGATGCTCTACCTCCGCGATGAGCTTTGATAAAGTTCAAAAGACAATGAACGTTTTCCGATCATGAGCACATCGATGTTTTCATTCCTCCTGTTAAAACAAATGTGCGAGAAGGCTTTCCGGCGTTTAGGACAGCGAACGATTATTCCGAGATAGAAACAAGTGGGTGCTTACTGGATGCGCTAGCCTAATTAGGTCAGGGGCAATTCCATGAAGCCTCCAACATCTGCGTGCACTGCTCCCATCTCTTGGCCATGCTCGACATGATTGCCCCTACAGAATATGCACACACCACACTAATCGATATACTGGAGTTATAACCCCTCGTGCTCCGCATAAACTCGTGTCCTGCGACCGAAAAGGCGTTTTGATCATACGGCCACCCTGACGCCCTATGTGGGGAGACCTCCAAGTCAGCTCTCATGCGCTCAAGTTTCTTATCGTGAGTCTACATTCGATGCGCAATCTATCTCGCTTGTAGTAGCCAATGAACATGCTTGAGATGCAGTCTCGCAGCCATTAGCCTCGACCGTTTACCATGATGCCGGTACCAATGTAAGATCACGAACGCCACGAACGCACGCCGACCTTCTTGATATTCACCCTGCATCGAGAACACGAGACGTACAGCGGGAGACACCCGGGTAAATCCTTGTGGCTGCGTGATGACCGCGTGCCCGATATTAAGTTACTGCATCTGATAACCAGAAAGAGAAGACGAACAGGTGGCATCGTATGCAGAAGACGGGCAAAGAAAATTGGCATATGTTGCCTGTATTGCTTCATAGTTCTGGCCGTGATCAGCTTGAATGTTTGTGGGGCATCTACAAGTAGTACAATGGTGGAGGGTTTGCCAATATGGCCACAGGATACCCGTATAAGATGCTGTTGTGACAGCTTCCGAGAAAGTAAGCTCTTTTCTGTGAGCTACATCGTCTTTCTCGTACCGATTTCGCATCTGCGCTTCCCATGATGGTTTCTAGCTTCTCGCTCTCCTCGATCCTTCTTCTGGCACAAGCCGCCTTTGCATACAATTTCCTATACGAAAGCATACAGTTGGAAGAATCGGACGTGGCGGGCAACCCCGATCTTGCTTTCGGCGAAGCAACAGGAGCCAGTATACCCTCCTGCAAAAACTACCCAGGCTACGACGGTTGGCCGTCATCAACACAGTGGAGTGCCCTCAATGTCAGTCTCGGCGGCACGTTACTCAAGGGTATCCCTCCAGCTGCAGCGTGCTACCAAGGCGAATACAAAGATGCGACAAAGTGCGCAAATGTCAAGCGACGACAGTCTGATGCTCTCTTCTTGTATGTCCGGGTTGACACTACTCTGCACTGATCGCTAACTTCTTAACTTAGCAAAGAAGACCCACTGATACCATTCCTGTCATGGACGCTCGATAACCCATGTTCTGTTCCTACATCCAGCGCTGCGCCTTCTCAGTCCGAGTGCAAGTTGTTGAGCTTCCCTGCATACGTAGTCAATGTCACCACGACCAAGGATGTACAAATGGCTGTGAACTTTGCGCGCAATAACAACATTCGGTTGACGATCAAGTGAGCCTTGTCCACTATAATCTCAAACTCAAGCTGAACGATTCAGAAATACTGGCCATGACTTCCTCGGCCGAAATACTGGAGGCGGCGCACTCCAAGTCTGGGTGCATCGCATGAAGGCGTTCGAGTACTTGCCCACCTATAAAGTCGGTCAGTACAGTGGCCAAGCTGCTCGAGTTGGTGCGGCACTGGAACAGCACGAGGTCTTCAGCTACATGGGAGGAGCTTGTATCACACTGCTAGCTCCCGGATCTTCGACGGTTGGGGCGTATGGTGGTTACATGCAAGGTGGAGGGTTCTCGTACATCACCTCGAAGTATGGTTTGATGGCTGATCAGGTCCTTGCTTTGGAGGTTGTCACAGCAGATGGCAGGTTTGTGCATGCGGATCCGACGGAGAACTCGGACCTGTTCTTTGCTATTCGGGGTGGTGGACCTGGTACGTTTTCGAGTACTGTCGTGACTAGCTGCAGTGACTGACGTACACTCCGAGGCAACTTCGGCATCGTAACATCTGTAATTGTCAAAGCGTATCCACCCACAACGATTGCACGAAGCGACTTCACTTTCCAGACTGGCGCCGTTTCTGGCAACGACAAAACCACCGTTCGAGTGTCCAAAGATACCTTTTGGAAGGGTATGGGGATATACTTCTCGCATAACTTACGTATCAATGACGCTAAAGGTATCATGTCGAACTACATAACCACAACAGGCGGCGCCTTTACACTCTCTAGTCAGATTACGAAACCAGGCGTCACAGTGAAAGAGATGAAGGAGCTTATGGCGCCGCTAATCCAGGATCTCAACGACATTGGCATCCCTCTAGTCAACCCCGAACCAAAATTCTGGAACACATATGCTGATTTCGGCTCCGCGCCGCCAAGTGGTGGAATACAGAACAGCCGCCTCGTATCTCGCCTTGTCCCCCGCTCCAACTTCGAAGACCCGACATCCCAGTCGTTCAACGCTACCATGACCGCGATCCGCTTATATGTGGAAGAAGGCGGATACAGCTTCCATTCCGTCGACTACGCACCAACGCACGAAACAGCCGGCTATCCTGGCTCTAGTTCCGCGATATCGCCGCACTTGCGCAACGCAGTCATGCACATGACAGGTTGGGATACCAGACAATATGGGGCTGATCTCTCAGATGAGATCGCGAAGTCGTCGCATGCTCGTCTCAACTCGTATGTACAGAAGTTGAGAGATGTGACGCCACTCAGTGGCGCGTATATGAATGAGGCGGATGTTGCGGAGCCAAACTTCCAGGATAGTTTGTACGGCGCCAACTACGACAGGTTACTGAGCATTAAGAAGGAAAGAGATCCTTGGGGATTATTCTATGCGGTCACAGGTGTGGGTAGCGAAAAGTGGGTTGTTGAGGGAACGAGAGGTCTACCGACCCAGCAGGGACGGCTGTGTAGGGCGGACATGTAGGATGCGGCGGCTCGATGGTCTGTCATATATCTCAAGACTCACTCTTGTGGAGCGATTTCTTGTTTACCGACGCTATCTTGCTGGGAGTCCACAAGATGCCATGTCTCTCCGTTGTCATCCAAACGAACTTTCGTCGACTTGGCAAAAGCCTTGAATTGTTTCGTGCCGGCCATTTTGTTGTCGGGGTTTCCGCATTGTAGAAGCGCAAGGCTCGACGATTTCCAAGGTGGCGCGTCGATGGTCCTTAGGATGGTAGCAAAAAAGAACGCAGTGATGCTAACATATAGCATAATAGGCATCAAGAGCCAAAGGAAGTTTACCTCGATAACAGGCTCTTTTGAATAAAAGATGCGTTAGTCAAACAGCTAGGGTGATGGCGAACGAGTTACGTACCTGTGATCCAGGCTGTACCATTCACAATGGAAGCTGAGCCGTTCTCGTTGTTTCTGAGTTCCATGCTTACACTAGCTGCTATGCTTTGTATTCTATTATTGAACGTGGTGAAAGCTTCTTCGTTGCACGCAGGTGGTCCGTCGTGACTGTCCTTTCGGATGTCGTCTAGTATGATACTTTTCCACGTTCTTTGACTTTCGAATTCTTCCTTTGCATCTTCGAAACCCAATTCACCCTGTCGAATAGTCGCAGACACGTTATATGTCATGAGGATTGATCGCGCAACGGATGAAAGTAGCGAATGTCTGATACACGTCTCTTCTCCAGTCGAATGAGGCGTTGTGCAGTAGATAGTATCGCTCGATCGTTCAAACGAGCCGTGCTCAAAGTAAGCGTACCAATGCAACTCGCTATTGGGGGTTTCGATTTCTGTACGCCAGTACTTTTCGTAAGTGGATGTGAATACTTGAGCACAAGGACGAAACGCAGCTCTGATCGCAGTCCAGTTTTCAAGGTGGTGAAGTCTGGCGAAACCTTCCATGCCACTGTTTGCAGCCTTGCAAGGATCATAAAATAATATTGAAAGGTTAGAGAAGGGTACCATGTTCATATCGCCTTCGTAATCTGGGAACTGGTAGTAGAGCAAGCTTTCAATATGTGTAAATAAGGACGTGTTGGGTAGGACAGCAGAAATCTCAGCGAGACCCTGGTCCAGCAGGTTTGGAAGGAAGATACTCCCGTTGTGATGAGCCATCATCGAAAGTAGGGTATCAGAGATATCTTCCGTCGTTGCGCATATTGACATGGTGGTATAAGGCTTCCAGGAACAAAAATCTGTAAGACATTCGCCGGTAACGTTGTCTGCGTCTATATGATCCGATAGGAGGGCCTGTACCATGGCAACACTTTCATCAGCGTCATATGGACCGCGAAATGCCTCTTTCTCTGAACCAAACGCTCGCAAAGAATGATATGTAGCTTGTCCAGCACGTTTGAGATGAGTTGAGCTGTCTTTGGGTACCTTGATCCGCTGCGTATTGATGGCTACCGACTGCTGCGCAAATGATGAAAATGCTAGCATCAATATTACAAGTAGTGCTCCAAAAGATACCAGATGCGGACGTAGTCTCAGATGCCAGAGGAGCCTGAAGGCACCGTCTGGACCACGGCTGGCCGCGTCGAACCTATCAATGTCGATAGCCTTGCGATCTTTTCGCAACCACGTCCATTTTGATTGTCCAATAGAGGAGGAAACAGGTACGATGAGCGCAGACTGCGACAGCTGGGAGAGTGCAGCTATGAATGCATTAATTTGGATCTTTGAGTTCCAATATCTCTGCTGAACTCCATTGAAGCATATAAGGAGAGCGACGATTGCTATGATGCCGGCTGTACCGAGTGACCAGACATATAGCTCCCATTGCCATGTATGCACCAGATAGCGGAACGTCCTCAGAGAAAATTGTGCCCGGCCACGTACGCCTGATGTGCGATCGATGTGCTCGGTCAGCTTCTGATGTTCGGAATCTCCACACGGCTCGGAGTCTTCCGTAGTCAGTGTCAAGGATTGATAACCATCAACATCAGTCGTTTGTGAAGTTACCGGCAACGTGTTGCGAGTAGTGCGGCCGCTTCGATTACTACTTGTGGACAAAGGCCGTGAGTCCAGATGTGTAATAAAGTTGAGTTCAGCTTCAGCAGAATGATGTGAAACTGTGGAGGCTGGCCGATCGAAGTGGTCGTGTTCAGTGTACATCGTGAGAATGGAAGCAGGATGCGTATCGATGAGTAAGATGACCAGATTGCGCATTTATGTACGCCTACTCATGCGCAGACTGTGCTACCTCGGAGCGAGCAAGGATGCTCGGGCGACAAGTCTTGGCCAGAAACCAACAAGCTGATATCTGTGGCATTTGCGCCAAGCCAATGAGGTAAGATTTGTGAAACAGTAGGATTCGTAGCCATGACAAGCGGCACAGTTACTCTCAGGCGTACTGCAGCTGCATGAACGGAGACTATCTGTTATAAATGGAATTCGGGATGCATTAGCGGCTTCTCCCTTGCAGAGCGCTCTCATTGCGAATCCTGCTTGCGATCGTTGAACCACGGACAACGTATGACGTACCTCACCAACTCATCAGCAGCTGATAGTCCGACCAACTTGCTTCTGTATCTGCCTCGCCCCCTTTTCTATAACCCCCACAACACCACCCTAGTCAACCTGCCATCTTCCCTGTTCAACCATTTCAACCCGGTACAGCAAGGCAATCAAGGGTGTGCTGTTGGTCAGAATCACACAGAGATTTGTTTTATTCTGTAATACTATCTTCTTGTTGGTCATGCAGACCGTAGCCCCTACCTTTGAATAGCACAATAGATAGCAAATTCTTCGAAGGAAAGTAGCTGCCTACCTGTAGATGTCTCAATCGTTGGTCGCCTCTCTTCGTAGACTTGGGATGCGGTCTTCGCTCCAGCACGTTCAAGAATAGAAGCTATGTTATCTTTGCATCCAATCCGCGCTTGATCAAGAGGCGTTGTACCTTGGTCCGAAATGGTGTTCAAATCGGCTCCTTTGTCCATCAGCAGATGCACGCAGTCGAGATTGCCATTGTGCGCTGCCCAATGGAGAGGCGCCCAACCAAAATCAGTCTTAAGAGAAGGATCCACTCCGCATTCCAGGAGGAATTTTACATCCTCAGCATTGCCGCAAGCCGCCGCATTATAGAGTCTGGACACGCCCCAGATACCTCTGACGTTAGGGTTTGCTCCCTTTTCTCGAAGCAGATCGAGGACTTTCGGAATCATGAATTAGCTTAATTGAATCATCTTATAACAAGGTATTTAACCTACTGGCTTCTTTGCCTTGACCTGTATATGCATTGGCTGACCAAGCGGTTTCTTTGTTCATATCGCGTAGATCTACTTTGGCTTCGTTATCCAGGAGCGAGGTTACGATGGAAATTGAATTGCGTGAGGCGGCTCGATGCAAGGGGGTTTGATCGAGGTAATCGCGCATGTTAACGTTGATACCTTCTTGTTGTAGTAAGACATTTACCACATCCGAAGCTTTTCTTTCGATGGCAAGGAAGAAGGCGGTTTCGAAAAATCGATCTCTGAGGGGTGTGGAATCATCGCAAGCTTCCAGAGCGCCGGAAAGATTGATTACATTGCAGTGAAATACTTCCAAAAGAAGTTGAATGAGACTTGGCGAAACTGCGGTAAGCTTCGGTGTGTGAGAACTTTCAGGGTCTAGCTCTTGACTGTCAACATCTGATACCGTTGACGACCTCCTACTAGATCCAAAGAGCAGATCCGAGATCCAGTCTTGGGCGCTCTGGCAATACCACGGCAATGACGAGCCCTGAGTCGCAATTGGAGGGTTGCTATCGTCCACGGCACTGGTAAGAATCGTCTCGACGATGCCAAAGTCGCTTTGCTGAGCTGCGTATAGCAGAAATGCATGACCGAATGGGTTCCCAAGGTCTACGGTTGCGCCGTACTTGAGAAGTACTGATATGACATCTGTATAGCCCTTTTTCAGAGCCACCATGAGTGGAGATTGTTGGAAAAAGTCCAACTCATCAACTCCTGGCCTCTCATCAAGAGACATGATGTGTTCAATCACTTCCGGAGAGCCAACAAAGGCGGCTAGGTGTAGTGGCGAATAATTAACGTAGCTGGTGTAAGATGGCCACGGCGTCTCTGCGGGTCGGTCGCCAAATGGAGGATAGCTTGAAGCCTCTGTTGAATGAGAACTCATTCTTCTATAGGGCGGGGTTTCCCAAGGATCTGTGTCGGTAGTTGTAAAAGCTGGCTCTGCAGATTGCTCCATACTATCGCTCTCCAGGTCTTCGGTCACTTTGAACAGTCTCTCGACAAACTGGTTCAAGGAGCTGTTATCTTCATCGTCGGAATCGCTCCAGGAATATTCTTCCGTCTCTTCTGATTCAGTGAGAAAGTCAAGAGGGGTTCTCCGGAAGTAGATATTCATTTCATCCAACAAACGGCAATAAAAGTTCCGCTTGAAGCGCTCCGTGATTAGTTGCTTTACTCGTCGCAGGACTTCCTCGAACTGTGCCGAAATATCCTGATTTTCTGAGTTGCCTCTCTGGATCTTCTGGGCTTTCCGAAAATGCTCGCCGAGAAACTCCCCAGCATAACTGAGAAGTGGATAGTGGAGAAGCTTTTTAGAGAAAGTCAGACCTTGAGCAGGTCTACCAACTCCAACCAGAAAGTTTGGATGCTGATCTACGTTGGGGCTGAATCCGACGCCATCCGAATCACTGTCGTCGCTTATGAACTCATCGGAATCAGGATACAGGTCCACTGCGAACGATATTTGCCGTTCGCTATCGTCTGGTTGCTCCAGTGATTTCATACAAAGATATGTGGAGCAAACGAGCGCGATATGGAGCTCGAAATGAGGAAACAACCTCGCTTTTGTGGCGTCATTGAAGTAGCCTTGAGCTGTGTAGTGGACCAGCCTCACAATCTTCTTCTTGGCTTCGAGGACCACGAGCCCACAACAGAACGCTGTGATGTCTTCTGTCAGAGGCATACGTCCATGGTTCAATGTTTCATCTTTGGCGCGTACAGCCAATGCGTGCTTGATCTCTTTTACCGACAAAGGTCGGCGCGCAAACACGACCCACGACAAGATTGTCTTCGCCATACTTCTCTTCTCTTCCCCTTCTTTCTCGATTCGCTCCATGATCTCATCGTACGTCTCGTTGATCTCTATCGGAAGCTTTTTCAAGTTCTCACGAACCGCATCCAGTGTTATTTGACTCGACAGTCGTTCGAGATGAAGGCGTGCTAATAGAAAACTAAACAAGTCATTCTTGGTATTCTTGAGAAAAGAAATTTACGCATATATACATGGAAAATGGCTTACTCACCTTCCATCTGACCTTTTGGTAACTTCATGTTTGATATCTGGCTCAAGCCTACGGTCGTATCTCATGAATTTTGCTAGCCGCGCGCTGTTGCCAATGACGTCGTCAATATAGCCATGAACGTCTTCTTGATGGGCTTCTATTACCACCCGACTAAATCCTTTGGAAAGATCTTCAAGGCCCTCGATTAGTCGGGATGTGAACAGCAATTTGACATGCTGATGAACCCGAGAAAGATGATTTACAAGCTTTTGTCGGTCCGTCGTCAGTTCGTCCAAGGCGTCCACAATGATGAAAACTTTCTTTTCTTTTGCCAACTCTGCAAGTAGCGTATCCAGCTGGTCTAGAGGTAGTGCCGAACTTTTATTCCCTCTTCTGACGTTCTTCTCCCACAAATCCTTCAAAGGCTTCGGTGTAGGAACTTCGTCTCCGACCAACTGTTTTGCAACGCTGCCTAGGAGCTGTACCAGGGGAGTCTGTCGTTTGTAGTTGAGGTAAAGGAAAACTATCCTTATATTCAGAGCATCTTTGAAACTCTGTCGAAGATTTTCCAGTCGCTGGATTACAATTGACCTGTGCTTTTAGTCAGGCTTGGAACGACAGAGAGACCAAGATGTAAGCATGACAGTGTTTACGTACGCCATGATTGTTTTCCCCGCCCCAGCTACGATCTTAGTTAGCTGCTTGATCAACTGGATTGAAAGATATGCGGCACGTACGTTTTCCGACACACCAGAGCTTTTCGACATCGCCATTCTCCCACTCATCGTAGGATTGCGATTCGAGCAACCAATTACCTGCGCCTTTGCGAGCGCGACTGGCATGGTCATCTTGCGCACTCGAGTAGTTCAGAGGAGACAGCCAATTCAGCATCTCATCCCGGTCGGTAGGTAAGGTTGAGGTTCTCTTTCTCTCGGTATCTATTCCTGATTAGACAATGCGTTGGTATCTAGACGTTTTGTTCATACGTTGATGAAATGTCTGGTTTGTCTGGTTGGCTGCTATGGATCAGTGTAGTTCACACTAAGATTCAAAGGGAGTCGAACCAATAATCGTCGCATTCGAATTCTCGCCGGTTAGCGAAAGGATACCCATCGCTATACCCTGGTTATCCGTCACAGAGCCAAGGCTAGCCGTTTGGTTCATGTTTGACATAGTGGTTTAGGTTTTGAGGTGTGTTGTAGAGCCGATTGCCCGACAGACGTAGGAAGAAAAGTATCCGTACTCGAAACGAAGACAGCTAATCTCTGAGTAGAGAATCAATTATGTTGTGTTGTTCAGAAGAAAAGGAAAAGAATGGAAATGAAAAGAAGTACAGTGCCTAGCGAAACGTTACAATCATACAACCTTCATGAGGGAGTCGAAGGTCATTTGGACAATCTCAAGTAAAGCCACCTACTTCATACTTTCCGATATCGTTAGCGGCTACCTTCCATGTAGCCAATACTGCATCTCAGCAACCGCTCTATTGTTAGAGCTCTGGTGTGTTGTGGAGGCGCATTGAGTGGACTGTACCAGAGGGAGATTCGTCCTCGGTCGACCAGTAGGTAGGCTGGTCGCCCATGGATCCCTGCGACCTAGACCGCGCCACGTTGGAAGTGGAGAGGTATCTCAAGGTCCTGAAGACGGACAAAATGGCAAAAACAAAGGCTGATTTCGGACCATCGTATGGATTTGAGACCCAATACTACTGTTAATTTTCGATTAATACCAGCCGGTGTCGTGATGCTTTACCGATGTTTGGGATAGGCATCGAGCCCTCGTTGCCAGTACCCATAGGCTGAGGTTGACTCCAGGTTGGCCCCCAAAAATCTATTGGGGAGGGCTGATCTTTGGTGCGGAGAACTGGGCGCAATCGGTATACACCTGTGTTTTTTTAGTTTGCGCACTGATAGACTGAATGAACATGATTCGTGAGGATAGGTCACACAGCCTGAGAGGCACTGCTTTCCGGTTCAGCTTGGCGCACTGGGGCTGAAGTAAGCGGGCGCGGCCGGGGTCTCGAACTCCGGTAATAAGGTTTTAGGCTTTGAGCTGAGTTTAGGTGCATGAGGGACTACTTGAGCGGACTCAGCTCAAATGCGAAGCAGATGTGAGAACCGACTTTGTTCTGTTTTCTTCATAAATCACTTTCGTTAGAATCTTGTACAATGGCTGACGATAATGGACTGGGAGCTGTGATTTTTGAGCCATCGGAGCCCAAGAAAGCAACCGTCGAGTAAGTCCAAGCCCTACGTCTTTCTGCAAATGATTGATAAAGCTAGCATTGTTTTCGTCCACGGGCTGGGTGGAAACCGAATCAACACTTGGACCTATGCACCAGGAACTCCTGAAAAAGTATTCTGGCCGAAAGATCACCTACCTCAAATATGTCCGGAAGCGAGAATACTTTCCTTTGGATACAATTCAGCTTTCGCGCACTTCTATCCGTTCTATGGGCCCAAGAACATACCCGTGGGTACCACCATCGATAATCATTCCACAGCGCTGTTTCAAAGCCTGATTGGTCTCCGGGATCGCACTGAGAGCGTAAGAAATCTATCGTCTATCTGAGAAGGAAGCACAAGCTGACGCCACAGTGCAGACGGATCGGCCAATCATATTCATCGCACATAGTCTTGGAGGACTAGTAGTCGCCAACGCGTTATCAAGACAGCATGGCGCAGACGAAGCAGCCGTCTCGCTCGTGAACCATACTGGTGGAGTGGTGTTTCTCGGGACGCCATTCGAGGGCTCGAGCAAAGCGGAATGGGGAAGAACGGCGTTGAGAGTCGTGGACTGCTTCAGCGATACGAAGAAGGAAGATGTCAAGGATCTTGAGGAGCGATCTGCGAAGCTCGTCAGTATCAACGAAGCCTTCCTGAAGTTCCTGAAAGCTCGTGACCGCTCTGGGGCTCCCGTCGAAGTCGAATGCTTCTTCGAGGCTTTGTCGTTGAAGATCTTGGGCAAAAGGTTCCTCATAGTTCCCAAGAAGTCGGCAGTCCTCCCAGGTATCGACGGGCAGTCGATTGAAGCAAATCACGTCGACATGTGCAAGTTCGCGGATGAAGAGAGGAGCGGGTTCCGAAGTATATCCGAGAAGTTAAGTCAGTGGATCAAAGCCATGCACGAGATACCGGCAAAGACCGGTGACCAGGTGAGCAGACTCTTTGGTATTGGAGACCGTGAAACCTGACTTTAGCAGGACCATGGAGTGCACTTGACCACTACTTTCAATGGCGCAATTGACAACAACCGAGGAGTGGTCGCTGGGTCTGTGTATACACCTGCAAAGGATGGTATTCGGATGATTGGGACCCAATATATCAGGTGCGATGATGGGAACGTCCCTAATCAGTAATGTAGGAATACTTGAAGAAGAGATTACATTCATCATACGAAAAACGGACCGACGACCGTTGGCTAGTCGACTTGAGATTGTGGTGCTGGAAGTGAGGATGAGATCAGGCGGGGGATCTGTCGACGCAGGAAGGTACAGCATGCAATCTACTTTCAACCTTAGCGCGAGTTTGTTGAGAAGTGCCGAGGTCCGCCATCTGACGCGCAACCACTACTAGAACAGGCCCTAATTTCATCTCCCTTCCCGGTTTCTGTGACGTTTTAGCAGAGCTACATTTCGTTTCGGACCTTACATCTACTACTTCTCGTCTTATCCTCTGACAGCACTGTTGAGTCTGAAGTGCAGATGTCACCGCTTGGGTCTTTGGTTTGTCGTGTCCGCCGCTTGCCAGCGCAAGCGTGTTGCATGGAAGGCGTACACCATTCAGGCCTGAACCACCGCGGCAGATGTAGAGCGAGTTTGCAGCGAGTGCTATTCGTATAGGACTCCGTTGCCTGATTTCTGACAATCAATGCCGCGTCGATCGATCAGACCCAACGCAGCGTGGTTAGAAGAGATTAGGAGACGCAAGAGAGACATGCGTGCTTCCAATAGCGTAACGCAACGGTGGCAATGAAGAGCCTTAAGTCCTTTACCTGCACTGATCGTGAGTCTCGCAAGATTCTCCTTTGTGAGTACCTCACTCAAAGCCATCTAGTAGATCCCGGCGAGCACAGCAGTAGCGCAACCTCAGATCACAACAGAGCTGATACTCGCTAGTAGCATTGTTTCTCACTATATTTGATTGACTACTATGCGCAATGGCGCTCTAGACTACAGCATCTACTGCGAAATGTCGCAATAGGGTATCATAACAAACAAAAGAGATATCCAAAGAGATCGAAAACAATCCCATGAAGACACCACGCACGCCCAACCCGTACAACCAATCCAAACGTGAGTGACAACCAACCCATCGGCGTCTCAAGACGACAATTTCTCGGAGGAGACAGCATCAAAACAACACATCTATCGCATCCCAGAAAAGAACTTTTGCACCTCTTTAGCTTTAGGCCTAGACTTGCGCGTAGACTTATAGCCGTCATCCACAACGAAGGCGTCGTCATCTTCAGCATCCTCGTCGCTGTCCTCCATGCCCTCGTCCTCCTCATTCTCCACAACGCAAGTGCTACGTGTGCGCCGCTTGCTTACCTGCGGAGGGTCTGTGTTACGTGCATCAACCCGCGCCGTCTTCTTGGTCGTCTTCTTCACTGGCTTTGCAGGTACAACGACATCTGAGTCAACCTGATCGCTCATCTCAACATCTTTGTCTTTCCCTGATGATGTCTTGTTGGCGCCAGCCTGCATCGCTCGTGGAAGGGCTGCTGGTTTGCGCTTGGGCTTGATCGTGCAAGACGTCACGGGAGGTTGGGGAGGTTGGGGAGGTTTCGAGGACTTAGCCTTCTTGGTAGGCGTCTTGTCTTCGTCGTCGTCGTTGTCGTTGGAGCGTGCACGCTTGTTGCCTTTGAGTGAAGCCTCATCGTCTTTCTTGCCGGTTTCAGGAGGGGATGAGGACTTGCTGAAGTAACCAGAGTCGTCAGCACCCTGGCTGATCTTTCGCTTCCGCTTCCGCTCTTGCTTTGGGGCCTCAACAGTGTGTTTCTCCTCCTTGACCTTCTCCTCAACTTTCTTCCTCTTGGGAGCCAGTTTGCCAGTCTTCTCACGTTCTTCTTGTCGCTTCTTCTCCTGAACCTCGCGCTTAGCTTGCTGTTGTACTTTAAGAGCTTCTCTTCGTTCGCGTTTGGTCCTCTCTGCTGCCGCTTTCGCTGCTGCTGCTCGCTCCTGTCTCATCTCCTTGTTGTGCTGCTTGACTTCGCCCAGGGCGAACTCCACAGCTTCAAGAGGATCGCCAAGCATCTCCATCAATTCGAAGTACGCCTTGTCATCGATTACCAGTACTTCGACGAGGTACTTCTTTTCGTCGAAATCCAGCTCGAGCGTACGGAACTGCGCCTCGTTCAGGAGATCACGTTGGCTCATGTTCTCGTACGAGGCCTTGCTCTGTCGCCTTGGTCGCCTCTCTTCTTTGGGCGCAAAAGGCTTGGAAGGCTCGAGAACTTGTTGCTGTTGACGGCGAGAAGTCTTTTGTTCATCAACCTTCAACACAGCAGGCTGGCGACGACGAGGTGCTTGACGACGCTCCTGGCGAGCCAGTTGTTGAGCAGCCTCCTCACGAGCGTCACGCTCAGCAGCTTGTTTGACAGCCAGGGGATGTGGAGCTAACAACTCAGCGATGGTGTCATCAACGGACTTCGCAGAGTGGTTGGCATCACGAACGATAGTAGCTGGTTTGGGCAGGGGACGACGCGGTGCAGCTTCCTCTGGACCAGGGCTACTCTGCACAGGAGTCGGCAGACGACGGCTGAGTGCTTTGGCGATAGGGGTGGAGTGTTTGGCAACAGTGCGCTTCTCGACTCTAAACGCTGGTGACGCAGTCGATGTACGCCTCACAGTCTCTCGCTTTCGCGCAGGCTTCGGCGAACAAGGGGTGAGCGCGTTGGCGACAGGAGAGGAGTGTTTGGTAGGAGAGCCCTTTGCGCCTTTGGACGCCAGTGACGCAGTTGATGTAGCCTTCGCAGTCTTGTGCTTTGGCGCAGGCGCTGTCTTGAACTTGAGAGTAGCCTTCTTGACGGGGGCTTTCTCGCCCTTGGCCTCGGCGATGATAGAGAGGAAGTCCATTTTGTGATGTGAATGTGCAGAAATGATATAGGAAGGTGTAATCAAGACTCAAAGGTTGTCTGATGGAAGGACTTGTTGTGGTAACTTTCGGTTAAAGATGTGGTTGTTGTAACCGCGGGACAGGAATCTGGGAGTGATTGAGTAAGTTGGTTCACAGTGTGCGGTAGGTAAAGCAGACGCGAAAGGCGAAATCAGCCTAGTTCGTCACGAGAAGCTCTCGTTCAAGCTTTGTTGCGCACGTGGTGTTGTTTTCTGTATTCTGGCCGTGAAAGTGAAAGGGTCGGTAGGGAAAGTGGACTGCACAGCTAGTGAGGAAAGGGGAAAAGTGTATCTTCACGATGTTGGGAAAGACCGGATCACCAGTGAGTTTTGCATCAAAGAGACAACTCGGAGTTTGGAGATATATACTGTTAACAAGAGACACAGTAGACTAGTGGTATTATACGTTAATGATTGAACAACTCGACAGTGTCAACAGAAGATTTCCTAACGTGCGCATTCGGATGCTTTAGAGTACCGTAAGCTTGCTCGCAATCAGATGGTTCAGAGTACCGTGACCCTTCTCGCAATCAGATAGCTCAGAGTACCGTAAGCCTCCTCGCAACCGTTGCGACCGCCCTATCCCGAGCTCAGCAGATCGCATGTTGCTCCGTTTCCACCAAAGCGCCCTCTGACAGATCCTTGTCGATCTCATCATATGCCGCTAATTGAGCTGCCCATGCTTTCTCGTTCTCGGTCCGCTTCTCGAGCCTTGCACTTGCAGCCTTTCTCCATGCCTCCTTCTCTGCTGTCACGAGGCAGACCAGGCGGAGTCTCAATTTCCATTCGCTTAGGGTTGTCGCTTCGCCCTCCTCGAGCTTGCCCCTTTTGGCGAGTTCATGCTGCATTTGCAGTATCGTCATGTCGTTCCAGCGTCCGAGGCGAGAGAGTTGGGCGCCCTGGTGGTAGTATAGTGTGTCTGCTAGACAGTGCATAGATACTTTGCGGCGATGCTGTTGCTTCAAGATGCGATGTTGTTTTGGGTGTAATGTGCCGAAGACAGCTTGTAAAGTGCGCTCAGGAAGAATTTCGAAAGCCATTTTGATGAGCTTTTCGGGCGACTGGGCACGTGCGAGTTTGAGTAGTTGACAAGACATCTTGTGGTTGTGTGTCGCGGATGTGTTGTGTTTCAGGAGGAAAACTTAGAAATGTACGTCTTTGGATTTCTTGATGATGGGCAGAGAGTGGTTTGGCATGATTAGAAGAGACGAGCAGATGAGTTGGCTTTTATACTGCTTGCTGTTGCAAGAATATGGTAGAAGAGCAAATGATCACTATCGTGTGGCTGAGCAAGTTACCACAGTTGATGTACGAATCGACTTTGGTTTTCACCACTCCCAAGTCTCACATATTGCTTTCACCTCATATAAGCTGGTCGCAGTTCAGAAAAAACAGTACCAGACCCTATGATAGTCTACAATGCGTGGAACGGCTCCAAACCATGGCACATTGTGACTCAAGGTGATGGAGACTGTAGTAATGAACGCGATATGGGGCTCCGCGACCAAACAGCAACGACAAGCTGACAACTAACTCACGTGCTTGACCAGAAAGCAGCGCAACGTTACGTTGAAATTCCAGTTTATCGACCAGCGTACATTGGTGAAGTGAAGTTTGGAAGAAAGATTGTGGGCAAGGGAAACCTTGGAAGTGATGGTCGTTTATGGCGCGAGGCATCCTGTGGTCTCGTTTATCGGACAACTTCGAGTACATGATCCCACAACAAGAGATCATCCGTGCATGTATCGAACGATGATGCTGAGAATTTCGTCCCTCATGTTCCCTCCTAGACTTCACACAGAGACCGCCCACTCTGAACTTGTTGATATAGTCTCCCGTTTACTTGCGTCCCAACTTCGCAGACTCTTAGCTGAAGATGTTGCTGGTCTTTTGGTAGGATAAGTGGGACGCACGGCCAATCAGATTCTCTCTCTTGTCATCCATCTCTTTGAGTTGTATCTCTTTGGCCTTGAGGTACCTAGGTAGGCTTGCACGAATTGGACGTTAGTCGGAATATGTCTTCCACGGAGCTCCAGTTACCAGTATATGGAGAATCCAGGCATCAGGCTAATATGAATCCGTCTACTCGAATACGTATCAAAACGGAGCGTCCGAGATTCAGTACAGGTGGTCCGGTATCGCAGCACATGATCGCAGCTTGAGCACGCGTACAATCGCGTCGCAACATTGTGTAGTGTGTTGGGTTCTTAGAGATATACAATCAGTTTTTCGAAATGAAATTTAAGCTTCAGCTTGCGAAAGACGAAGCGTGATATATGAAATTAGAAAGTCGCCATGTTCAACCATGGTACATAGGTGCAGTACAACCGGCGGAACATCGGCAAAACGTGCCGCGCCGCCGATGACCTCGGTGTTTGCACTGTTTGCACCAGACCACCTAACTTTATGGCCAGACAGCAACAGTGAAACACCAACAAGCCACAAATCAGCATACGTCCAACTCTCACAGACTTACTTGCATTAATCGGACGACGCCTCCACGAAATCACTCGCATTTCCAACCCTTTCGAACGCGTCCCTTTCGGCGGAACGATTGAACCAGCGGTCAACGCCGCATACAGACGGACCTTAGAAGCGGCGGAGAGACACAGGGAGACAAAATGGGCGGCTACTTATCGACGTTCACAAAGCTGATATGGGCGAAGAAGGAGATACGGATATTGATTCTGGGGCTGGTACGAGCATCAAATACCACAACATGCATGCACAGTGCTGACTACGAATGCAGGATAACGCTGGAAAGACGACGTTGCTATACAGATTAAAGGTACGCGACATCCCGCATTATGGTGGAGGAGCCGTCAAGACATATATCTTGGAGTTTGAGGCATGAACGCAGACAACTAACAGCCACCCCAGATCGGAGAAGTAGTCACAACGATACCAACAATAGGCTTCAACGTCGAATCAGTAACATACAAGAACCTCAATTTCAACGTCTGGGTAAGCCCACTTCCTCCCACCTACCAACTGTTCCTCCCTTCTAACACCCATTTCAGGACCTCGGAGGCCAAACCTCGATCCGCCCTTACTGGCGCTGCTACTACGCCAACACCGCCGCTGTAATATTCGTCATCGACAGCACCGATATCGAACGTCTGACCACCGCAAGCGAAGAACTCCGCGCCATGCTCAACGAAGAAGAACTCCGCGACGCTGCGCTCCTCGTCTTTGCCAACAAGCAAGATCAACCGGGCGCGAAAGGCGCAGGCGAGATCAGCGAGGCGCTCAAACTGGGGGAGCTGAAAGATCGGAATTGGAGTATCGTCGCGTGTAGTGCTGTGGATGGGAGAGGTGTGCAGGAGGGTATGGATTGGCTGGTCAGTAATGTCGGGGATGGGCAGAACTGAGGATGAGATGGACGGATGCTTTGGTTGTGGGTAGAGGGACAAGATTCATATGCGATGGGGATTGGGCATCAAAGCGGAAGAACAGAATTCCGGGGTACATGACGCAGGGAGCCATGACGCGGCACATACGCGTCAGATGGAATGATTATACCAGCATAATGGCGTCTAGGCGCCAGGGATTGTGAATACAGGGAGCAGGTTAGCGTCAGTAATTGAATGCGCATCTTCCAAGTTGACACAAATGCATTTCCTTGCGTCTATGTACGAGAAACATCTAATATTGGTCCCAACTCAGGTCTCTCCCTGGCCTCAAACGTCCTTCCGTCCAATCCTTGCCGTAAACATATGCACTACTAATCTCCTCCTCATCAATACCCAAGTGGTCGTCCCCATCCCTCCCTCGGAACCAGCCCAGCGCGTATGTCTTTCCAGTCTTTTCCAGATGTTTTGTCATCTGGCTGGATGTCATCTTCTCCGTCTCGATGAAGCTAAGCAGCATCTTGGACTGGTGGATGAAAGCAAGGACAGACGCCATTGTCCCGATTTGACGCGGCATGAACTTCCGACTGCGCTTTGCGTAGGTAAGGATGGCGATGGCGATGAGGTAGAGCAGGATGAGCATAGTGAGGGTGAAGCTCGACCAGAAACTGCGAAAAGTTTGGTCTGTGTTGTAGCGATCATTCGCTTCATCTGACTTTTCGACACTGTCCTTGCCTCCAAATCCAGGAATAAACTTTTTGCCATCCACGCTGATTGAAGTTACACAAACGGTCAGGATTTCAGCAAATATGGATCCGAAGGCGACGAGCATGACAAGGTAGTGTCCATTCAAGAAAGCTTCGAAGGGCAACCATAGCGGATTTGTGCCGGCATAGTCAAGTGTAAGAGTCTTGGCTGGAGCATGTCGAAGCGAGAGGAGATAGAAAGGCTGCAGCATGCGAACGTCGCTGTTCATCGTATTCCAGAGTATGCGAATAATAGTCGCTAGTGTTGTCATTATCCAGGGAAGTTTCTGTGTGACTAAGCTTGCTTTCTCGACGAAGGTAAAGACTGGTACCGCTATGGTGAACACGATGAGAAAGCCGACGAATGGAAAACCAGAACGGAGGCGAAGCATGAGCGGTCTGGGATCGGAATTTTGGTCGTGGACTTTTTCCTTGCTCTTCGTAATGTACTCGCCTTGCCAAAGTGAGCTTTTGTGCAGGATGTATCTTCGTTGGCGAAGCTGCTTGTGTATCTGGTTCGAAGATGCCTGGTCAAGTCCCTTGAAATCCGCAAGAATATGACTTTTGGTAGCCATGGCTGCGATGCCTGCAATTCCCTTAGGATCTGACTGCAAGCCGCTCTTCCGTTGCATTGCGTATATCAGTGCGCAACCACACCCAGCAACGATCAGAAGAGATGCCGACAGTGCTCTAGACCAAGCCGGTTCGACACGGATAGACCTCCATTTGACATCCTTGCGTTGGTCTTCTGGTGGCCACATAGTGAGGGAGGAGGATTGCAATACAGGTACAAGGCTACTAGCAACCAACGTACCCAGGGAGCTGAAGATGACGGCGTATTGTCTGTGATGGAGTGCCCTCAACGGTACCAGGAAACTCAGGAAAGTCAGGTAGTCCATGTTCAAAGACTCGCCTGCGGTTGCACCGGTCTTCTTGGATAGTTGATAGAATGGCTCTAGACGTTTGACTTCGAAATCTGACATCTGCCAAAGGACTCCATAGAAGACTGAGATGATGATAGGCGCATACTGCCACGTGAAATATTCAGTGACAGTCAGATCGTTTACCTTCTCAAACTTTTTCAAGCCACCTTTTTCGTCACCTTCTACACTCTTCAGAGACTTCTGGCACAAGTATTCTTGTACACCAGCAAGCGCAAGTGCGAGGATGACGAGAATGGAGATCCACCATGAGCTCATAGTAAGAGGGCGCCATGTAGGCATTTGGGGATCTGTTTTTATGTTAATTTCTGTGGATGAACAGTTGTACGAGAGAGTCACCTTCTGGAAAGAAGTAGCTGGTTTGCGCGTCGCTTCTGATGAGCCCAGCTTCAGCCGTTAAGCTACTCATGGAGTCAAAATCACGAGCAACTCCTGCGAATTCGCTGATGTCGACTGGAACATCCGTAGCGACAGCAACCACTTGGCCAGTCTTCGTGGCCTTGTCCTGTGCCTTCTTCGCCTGCTCATCTGCTACATCTGCCTTCGACAGTATTCTTCGGTGGCCCGGAAAGTCGCCTGGTACTGGTCCAGCTGGAGTGTGGGTGAATGGATTGTGGAGTACCGAAGTCATGCCAGCTCCTAATTGCGCTTCAAGTCTTTCATACTCTGCGGCATGCCCAGCTTCGTCAATATTGTGATCGCCTTCTCGCGCTGTACGTGTGCCTTGCTCCCTCGATTGTGACTCAAATGCCTTCATAGGCAGACCGCCGAGCGAAGTCAGGTCGTATCCGACTGCTTCATCTGCCTCCTCGACCTCCTTGAGTCTTCTCCTATTTGGCTGTGATTCCTCATCATCTAGCCGGTTGTAGTATCCACTAAGCGGGCTTCCTCTTCGTAGCGATGCGATTCGATTGAGGACACGCTTCGTCCTACTATCGCTCTTACCCAACGATGGTGATGCGCGATCTTGAGTGAAGAAACTTGCGACAGGGCTGTATGACGTTTCTTGGGCAAAAGACGGTGGCGCCGGGGCGCGGGGTATACGATACGAGGGCTCTGAGGTTGGCAGCAGAGGCGAGGGAAACGATTGTCGTCTTGACGCAGGGGAGCTGCTGGGAGATGCGACCGAGGCGATCGAGGCGATCGAGGAAGGACGAGACGGGAAGAGTTGCGAGAGCCTGTCCGAGGCGCCGGACGTGTTCTTACGCCGTAGTGGTGGACGAGCATGAGATGGTGGGGCACCACTCGTTGGAGAACCAACGCGCAAAGCAGAAGGGACTGTAATATCAGACGGTCTTCTCGTGCTTGTAGGAGAGCCAATCTGGAGGGCAGGCGGGACTTCCTCTACATCTGGTGAACGCATGTTCAATGGTGTATGCGCCGCGTGCGCTGACGTTTGTAGGGTGTACTTCAATATTCGTAGTTCGTAGCAATTGCAAGGTGAAAGGAAACAAGGCCAGAGGAGAAGCAGAAACCACAAGAAACGCGATAAGTCACCAAATCATACAGGATGTTGCACACGGCTGACAGTACCTTGCAGCCTGTGCGTCGCACCGGTCAGCCTGGTTCCATCACACTAACATGCGCTCGTGGGGGCCTCCCCAGAAGTATTCAGGCAGGAATTCCCTTCCGAGGCAATTTGCGCGCTGCAGTCCGGCCGAATCCAGTAGACGTCGTGGAAACAAGCTCGCCTTGCCTTGGAGGCGCGCTGGCGTTGCGGGGCGTTACGAGCCGCTCAGCCTTGTGTTGATCGGCTCGCGTAACTCGAGGTTGAGTACGAAGACTGATGAGGTTTGGCGTCAGGAATATGGTGATGAGGAGTCCCGTGGTAGCTGTGGAGGCACAGAGGTCATATAGCCGTGTACAATCTGGCCTTGCAAACTACGATGCTATCACACAGACCGGATGGTCAACGATTGCGAGCGGCTTGATCTAAAAATATGGCGCTGTGCCGCTTCAGTCGCAGGGCGTTCGATTTTCGCCTGCTATTGCCGTGTATGGCATGCCGGTGGCTTGCAATGGGGGCTGAAAACATCATAACGTCGTATTGGGCACACACGCGGCTGAACGATGGGATGCGAAACCGGCGATGTTGGTGTTGAGTAGATGGAGAAGGAAAAGAAGTGGAAGAGGTTGGAGAGATTAGAAGCTACTCTTGTCAGTGCCCCGCTAATCCAATGACGCAAAGTCGCTCGGGCGGCAGGTGCTGACTGCGACAGCAAGTCTTTCACAGCGACATCAAGACACCAGGCTGTGCAACACCACCAACGACGCACAATGTATTGGCAACGACTATCCAGAAATAAATTCGATTGCAACTTAGACGAACACCTTCTACTTGGGCTGTACCACCCTACATCCTTGTAAATCGGACCCTCTTCTCGAGAGTTTCTCCATCATAGCCCCCATATCTAACCCTCCTGGGATCGGCCAAAGGGAGTCGAAATGCATACCTTTAGCCCTCCTGGTACTTCATGATTGAAGAACTTGTCATAAGCCTCCGAGATATTCTCCAACTTATCCTTGTGCGTGAACACGAACGAGGGGTCGTATTGGCCTTTAACAACGAAGTCTAGAAGGAGTGGGAAATACTACAGGGTTCGGATCAACGGTCAGCAAGGTATCACTCATAGGAACAGGTATCTTACCTTCTCGGCGTATAGCTGCCCACCGCGTACGGTAATTGCCTTTTCCATCATCATTCCAATCGGAAAATTGTTGGTCGAGTAGAAGAAGTCGCCAATCAAAGCGATGTTTCCACCCTTGCGCGTCGCCTTGATCACAGCGCTCACAGTATCTGAGCTATCGCCCTCAATACCTAGCTTCCTCATGGTGTTATGGACGACCGAGTTCGTGCTCCTGAAGCCACTTGCTTCAATACCGCGGTCCAGGCCATGCGGTTCAATGGAAAGAATGTAGTCCGCCGGATCCGAGTGCTCATTGACATTGACGGGGATCATGCCAAAAGATTCTGCAATCTTGAGTCGGTTGACGTCTTTGTCGACAGCGTAGACCTTTCGGGCTCCACGAAGCTTGGACAAACGTTGGATCGAGAGACCAATTGCGCCACAGCCCCAGACGCCAACAACATCGTCTTTGCACACTTCCGCAAGTTCACACCCATGCCACGCAGTAGGGGTCACATCCGCAAGACCGACCAGCTTCTCAGCGGCAGAGTTGCTATCAGTCAATCAGTCAGTTGTCAGTTCATCTTTGCGGTTCAAACTGTCAGTCTGGAGGTAGTGAACTGACCTGATTGACTGCCAAGACATTTTTTAGAATCGCGAACTGAGACTG